AAGCACTCCCCAAGTATACAATTTCATTTACCTGTTCTAGACATTCCTGATTTACCCATATTTCACACTTCGTTCTCTCTTCGTCCCTTTCAAATACCAGAAACTTAGTTTTATTAGCATTCAAACGGAGACCTTTAATTTCACATTCCTCTTTCATACACGTGACTAATGCCTGCAGTTCTGCCTCTGATGGTGCAATAAGCACTGCATTATCAGCATACAGCAGACAATTTACTTTTATGTCACCCAATTTCACACCCAAACAGCTATCTTTCAGCTTCTGTAAACAGCTGTCGAGATACAGTATGAACAGCCAGGAAGACATGACACAACCCTGCTTTACGCCTATAATGAATAAATATATGCTTTAAACAAAGATTGCTATTTTTAATTTCATAATTTTATAATTTTATTATACTTTTATTATACGACATACATTACTTACACACATTTTTACAAATTATATTTTCTGTTTTACTATAATCAAGTGACAATAACCAATCTCGAAATTTAACTTTACATTCAAGTCTGGAAAGAGGATAAAAATTTAGATTTCTATTTAACTTATTATAAAGCACTGAGGATAGATATGAACTTTGTCGCCTAGAAAAAGCAGTTGGACATCTGCCAATAACCAGTACATCCGGTATTCTGCGTTTATTACGACAAATCTCAGGGTCATAAGGAGTTAGAGCATGTTTCATTAAGATCAACTGTTGGATGTACAATTGCCTGACAGTCAACAGTTTGCATTCTTGGTAAAGCAGATTTGTAGGATACCTGAACGGTTTAAAAGTCATAGTTTTTAGGAGACATCTTTAAGCTCTTTCTAATTTTATCATAAATGTTTTGCATGCTCCACCCCAGGCAACTATACAATAACCTATAATTGATTGTGCTAAGGCGTAGAATACAGTTCTTAATAAAATAAAGTCAGCGATGTGCCTTAGCCTTTTAAATGTCCAAATAAGTATCCTAGTGCGCGATGAAATAAGGTATATATGTGAGAGCCAGCTTAGCTTCTCGTCTATAATTACTCCGAGATATTTAATTGATTTGGATTTCGTCATTTTAGGGCAAAGGCAAGTATCTGTTGACTGTGAACCACAAGAGTGTACTGTTAGTTGTATATCGTTAACAGTTTGGGTGTTGGTTATATGGAACTGCATATAGGTGGACTTAGATATATTAAGAGTCAGTAGATTCTCCTCAAGCCAATTTGCCACAGTTTGAAGACCCCTCATCGCAAACTCCTGGACCTCAGGCCAAGTCTCTCCGTAGAAAATTAAGGCTGTATCATCAGCATAAGTAAATAGCTTGCCTTAACTTAGTGTTATTGAGCACAGGTTGTTAATGTAAACCAAGAAGAGATTTCGTCCCAGGATACTGCCCTGAGGGACTCCAAACGTGACACAGGCATCTGAGCTAATAATTTTTTTTATTTTTACTCTCTGCACACGGTCATATAGAAAATCCTTAAAAATAGAAAGAATCTCTTATTCCAATTTTTTCTAGTTTGTTTACAAGAATTAGTATCGAAACGGTGTCGAAAGCTTTGGCTTAATCTAGGAAAATTCTGTTTATGGTCCAGTTTATTTGTTACAAATTCGGTCAAGTTACGAACAGCATCTTCTGTACTAACACCCGCTCTGAATCCGAACTGCATATTAGATAAGATATTATATTTGTTTAGAAATTTAACCAAACGATTATTAAGCATCCTTTCTAAGATTTTTGAAAGAGCAGGTAGCACAGAGATCGGCCTGTAATTTTCAACAACGTCCCGAGCCCCATTCTTGTAAACAGGAGTAATGAGAGATCTTTTAAAAACTTTTGGAAAGCATCCTTGTTCAAAACAGATTTTAAAAAGGGTTGTGAGTGGCAGAAGTATTTTATCCTTGGTCATTTTAAGAAAGACAGCAGGAATGGAATCCCAACCAATAGCACATTCATTTCTAAGACCCATCAATATTGTTTCATCTTCTAACTCGTCAGGAGAATCGAGCACAAATGAATTAAGCGACCAGGGCATAGTATTAACATTAGCAGGTTTAACACCGTTTGCTAGAATTTTATCAGCTAATTTTCTACCTAAAGTTGAAAAATAGTAATTAGCTCTCTCCACTGAATCTGTAGGATTTTTAATGATCAAATTTTCAGCGTAATTATTTTTAGTATCACACCCGGAGATGGCTTTAATTGCAGACCAAGTTTCTTTACTGTTTTTTGCATTTGCCAAAAGACTTTTTTCATATTGGCGCTTGAGCTTACTTAACAAGGAATTGCAGTAATTCCTATAACACTTATAAGAAATTTGAAGTATTTCATTGTCAGGGTTCAGAAGTGTGTCAAGGACATGGATTCGACTATATTCGCACTAGAAAAGCAAAAAAAAAAAGAATTCAATTTCGGTGCAGCGGGGTGGGAGGACCACGTGGCATGGGCGAGATGTGAGCGGTTGAACGTCGATAAATGCAATTTCAGATTTATTGATTTGTCAAAAGACTCAAATTACATGCAAAAAAATTTTAAGCAGTTAGAAGCGGGTGCTGATGCGCGTGGTGTGCGCGTAGCGGGTGCGCGTCATGGGAACACGCCCTCAGGCTATGAAATACTTTGTCAATCAATTAATAATACAATGTCAATAAAAGCTGATTACAAATTAATATGCCCATAATTAAAATTACATCTTAAATACAAAGTTTTCATGTCATCATTCATATTCTCTTTTTAACAGGACATAGATGCGGTATCGGAATGATGATACCACATCTATGTCCTGTTGAAGAGCTTGGGCATCAGCAACACTGTTAGCAGTGCAGTTGCAGCAGCAGTTGGGATTAGTCCCCAAGCTTAATTAGATCATCTGCAAATAACAAACACTTCACATATTTTACTTTGGTAGGCAAGTCTTTTTTTTTTTTTAAAAAACGTTACCCCCACACTAGGATTTTCTCCTGTATCGTGGAGGCAGTTTACAAACACAAATTTCACAAGGACAAACATCCAGACCCGGAACAATCATTTGTAGGCCATACAAAATACTTGTTCCGTGCGGGATTCGAACCCGCGCCCCCCAGCGCAGCAACTCATTGCTAAGCCACTGCGCCACGGAGCCGTCATTCTGTCAGTCTAGTCGTTTATAATAATTAAAAACAGTGCAGGGCCTACAGTACTACCCTGACTCACACCAGATCTAGTGAAATAATCAGCGGAATCGAAACTACCTACTCTAACAAATCGACGACGATTATCGCTAGCGAAATAGCTAGCAAAGAATTGAAAAGCTTCGGAGTAAACCTAACTCAGCTAGCTTCTGTAACAGTACCTATGTCATTCACCAGGTCAAAAGCCTTCCTAAAATCTAAATATGCGACGTCTACCTGTCTCCTAGAATCCATCTCTGCACAGATACGGACCACGTCTGCTATCAGGTTAGTATTCGTTAAGCGATTCTTTCTAAACCCCATGTTGACTGTCATGCAAAATATTATCTGTTTGCTAATGCGGAAGTTCAACATGGTTTCAAATATCTTCGCCAGAACTGAAAACACCGCAATAGATCTAAAAACAGAAACATCCTTTCCAGTTTCTCCCTTTGGAACATGTGTCAACCTAGATAGTTTCCATTGTTCTGGAAGTTTAGCCTGTCTAAGGGACAGATTAAAAATAAAAAAGAGCGGTGATCGAAGCGCTGGCGCACAATCCTTGACCAGAATAGCAGGAATGCGGTCAGGGCCACCAATAGATCATGACTTTAGGCATTTCATTGCCAATCTAAAATCACTATCTTCACACCACGTTGCGCCCCGCGCACCCCGCACACCGCCCGAAAATCACGTGATGCCGCCGACCAATCAGCGCGCGGCACACCTTATAATGCTACGCACGCGCCGCGACACCCTTTTTGAGAATATAAGAAGAGCGTTATGGGCTGTGCGAAGAATAACATCAAGAAAGAAGACCTCAAGAGAGAAAACTTCAAGAGAGAAAACTTCAAGAGAGAAAACCTCAAAAAAGAATACTCCATAGAAGACTTCCATCTGTATATATAATCCACTGCCGCTTGTAAATAGTTAGAATATATAATCGTCTACAGTACCATCTTTTCTTACACCGTCACTAGCATAGTTTACCCTACACAGAATAGTTAAAATCAGTCATAGTACGCAGTTAGTTACTTTAAAGGCATACAGTCCACTGCAGTCTCCTACAATATATATATTTCAATAAATCTAACACGCTCAACTTATTCTTGGATAAGCTTACAAAGATAATAAAACTTTGTGTTTATTTTTTAAGGTTACAAAAGTTTTATGATAAAACACGCTCGTATCAAAAATACGTATGAATCATACAAAAACACTAGCTGACCCGGCAAACGTTGTTTTCTACCGACTTCCAAAAAGGAGACGGTACTCAATTCGACTGTAAGTTTTTGTACAGCCGACTTCAATATAAGTTATTAAGAATAACTCAATAACTATTGGTCTGACCTTGATCAAATTCATATGGGATCACACTCAGCTTTCAAATAAAAAAAGAATCATCGAAATCGGTTCACCCAGTAATAAGTTATGAGCTAACACATATAAAAAATATATACATTATTTCTAGGAAATATTTTTTAGTTTTAAAAATCGCGAATAAACACAGGGGTTGAACGTAGAAGAGTGCAAATTTGAAGTTTTATGTATTTTTCAATTCAGAAAAATTGTCAAAAAATAAAAATAATTTGTAGTTTAGAGGTTTGAAAAATAGACGTTGGCCGATTCTCAGAGCTACCCGATATGCACACAAAATTTCATACAAATCGGTTCAGCCGTTTCGGAGGAGTTTGGTAACAAACACCGCGACACGAGAATTTTATATATTAGATGTAACTATTTAAAGTTACTTTAGGAATATCCTTTTCACGGTCAAGCAAGCATTTTGAAAAGAAATAATTTACTGAGTACAAAAAAAAATCCTTTGTAAAAAAATGCGAATAAGCCACTTGCCTGCAGCGCAGTATGTCCACCATATACGCCATTGACATCAGCCCGTGCGCCGTCTGTACGGGCCAGTATGTCTGCGCAGCGAGCCGCGTCGCCATTGGCCGCCGCTTTCACCAACTCCTCGTTAGCGTCGCCCGTCACGTGTGACTCGAACAGCTTCTTAAGGAGCACGGATAGGCGATCACCTGATAATAAACAAATATATAGTTGATTTTGTAAACATTAGGTCTCGATGACGATATTACAATAAATGGTAAGACAAATACTACACAGCATCCCTTGACTTTGAACAAAATACAGGATAACTTAAAATAACAGTAATAACAAGTGATTTTACAAAATGATTTTATTACCATTAATATTTTCTACTATTTTTCGCATTTCCTCTACAAATATTTCATCCCGATCCCGTGCAACAGTAGCATTTAGGTCGTAAACACTTCTAGAATGCGAAGCACAAGTCCTTGCCTCCAAGCTAGACCATGGCTAATCTTCAGGGCTGAACAAATCTGTGATATTGTCGTTGCACCACTGTTGCGGCTCTGAACTGAAGGAGAGGCTTGTTGAAATATCGACGTATGGTTACCAAAGTGCTCTTGACTTCAAGTAAAGTTATTAATTTAATTTGATATTATTTTTCTACAAAAATTGGGGGTATAGGGGTAACTAGTTTTACTAGTATGCAACACGCCAAACCATTACTGTTTACGGGTTTTGATGATGTGAAACAACGGCAGCAATGCAAGGATAAGTAGAAGACCACATCCCGTCATTTTGTTGATTGTCGGCTATAGTAAATACTTTTTTCCCGAAGAATACGAAATTTTTCATGCAGTGAAAACGACCGGGGTGATCCAAGGCTATATAATTGATTAAGTCTAGCTAAGGCAACGAGTTTTTAAGCAGAGTAGTAAATTGGTTAGAATGGACACCTGGAATTCGGTTGCACGGTTATTTTGGTATCTGAACAGAATCGGTTACAGTTCCAGCGAAACAGGTTAGAGCATATTTAGAATCGAAAACGATTCATATACAGGAGAAAAATTTACGCGTCACGAATTACAATTTATGACAGACTGCTACTGACACACATCTGCGCAAAACTGAAGATGTCTTCTTTCTTTATTTCTTTGCTAATGAACTCAAGCTGTTGTATTTTTTCCAGTGTCAAGTAATAAGAATTTTATCTTTATAATAATTTGTTTACTTCTTAATATGCTTATCGTCACATTTCGAGGTTTTTGGGATACTTTAACGCCAGCTTGATTCAAAAGACAATCGATGACGATAGTATCTCAAGGTGCCTAAACTAATTATTTTGAGGTTCACATCACCATCGGAGCACTTGTTTCATCCTTTCCACTAACAAACGAAATAAACGCGCTGTTAAACGGACATAATTTCCTTTGCCCCATTAGCTCGTTATTTTTACGGTTTTTATAGTAGACTAATTTTTTTTTCTAATTTAAATTAAAAATTATATTAATTTAAATTATCAAAATATTGCAGCCATAATCCGATTAGCAAAAAACCTTACCTGAGGAATTTCCATGTACGCTGCCGTCAGACGAAAACACCTTCGTGACAGCATTAGGGTTGTAAGTCCATGATGTATTACACACTTCAACTTTAAGATCGTTGTCGTGATAAATCTGCTGTACGCGTCCTATTTTACCGAGCGTCTGTAACAAAATGTATTGTCATTTCCGAGCACATCAAGCAAATATAGCTGTAGCATGAAAGGGGCCGGCTCGGACGGAGAAGAACTAAGTAAAACAATTTAATGCTGCTGTATTTCGTAAATTGAGACTTTTTTGTTTTTACTGGTAATGAAGCATTCCGTCTTAGTCTTCAAGGTGACAAGGTAACTGCATTTTGTTTATTTTTCCGCACTCCTTCTACACTTTAATTATGCCAAGTCTCACACTCCTCTGTGTGCGCAATATGCCTGAAAAGAAGGGGTACCTACAATTTTTTTCTACTACGTATTAATATATAGATAGATATACATACGGGTGCCATTGCCTCGGCCCACTCGCCGTGGCCACGTTGCAGCGCTTTAACTCGCTCCTGGTCGGCGCACACCTCCACCAGGTCGCCCACAGCGAAGCCGGCAGCCGCGCCCCCCGCGCCCCCCGCGCCCGCACCCGCCCCCGCCGCACCCGCACCTGCCCCCGCGCCGCTCGCAGACGTCGACGCGCTTAAGTTGCCGCCGCATACCTTCATGATTTATTATACTAAATTATAAAGGGAGAATATTTGCATATTTGTTTGTTTGACGTTTTATAACTCAAAAAGAGCAAAACAGATTGTTATGAAATTTTTACCATGTACATACATTATACTGTATATAATCACATTTAGGATCCATAAGAAAAACATTAGGGATATGCCAAATATTTTTCGATTGAAATATCATAACTTAAAATCTCACGTCTGTCACCCAAAGGGAAAGGCAGAGACTACGGACTTTCAATAGACACGAGTCTGACCCTCTCTCGCTTCATTCACATCGATGTATCTACGCATACATGCTCGTCTGTTAAGAGTACTCTTAACTTCTTACGCAAAAGTTACATCTCTTGCTTAAATATATTTGGGCACGTCTATCAAATACTGGTTGGATCGAAAGTAAAGGTTTTACTCTAGCGAAGCGTTGTATCTATGATAACATGGCGGCAACTGTTGTTGTTTAAAGGATTTTGAAAAAACCATCATCGGAGAGCGTACCATATATTTGCAACGAATTGCTAACGAACTGCTTATTATATTTTCTTGTATTTTATTTCGTAACGCACGCATATTTGCGCCATCGATCATGAGTGCATCTGAGGATGATCCTCTTTCACATAGATCAGATTAGACATAGATCACAGTTCTTGTTATCGCCCACGTATAATCTTTGAATAGTGTTATGAAGGCATGGTGCTGTGCCGCTCGCTCTTGAATGGAAGTATGCTGTCGGCGTGAGACACCGCGGGCGAATTATTTACCGCTGCTGCTGACCGACATTTGGTGCGTGAGGAAAGTAAATTTGTGTTAAATATTGCTTTGAAAAAAATATTTTGTAGTAACAAGTGGTTAACCTTTTAATTGGTTGAGAGAAATACCTGAAAGCCAAGCTTATTTCAACTAGCTAACCTGAGTGTATTTGGGTGATTAATGATCCTGTTAAATTGTAGAGTTGCTTACTTCATTTTATTCTGTGTTTTAACTATGTCAGCAGCCATACCGTAGCCTTAGCTCAAAGAATGGGTACGGTGCGCGTGTAATGTTGGTAGACGTCTGTCTAGTTTAGTCGTCGTTGAGATGTAACGGGAATGAAAGAACATAGAGATGAGTACTAGTAGAAATAAAATGAAGTATAGTATACATTTGTTGCGTTACGAATGATTAAAAAGGTTATGGCTCTTGGACATTTTATTTTGTGACTAGCTGTTTCCCGCGACTTCGCCCGCGTGTTATTTGGGGTTTTCATTTTTTTTGCGCGGAAATTTAATTATTTTTCTAAAATAAAAGTAGCCTAAGTTACTCCTTGTGACATCAGCTATCTGTCAGTGAAAATCCCGTCAAAATCGGTCCAGCCTTTTCGGAGATTAGTCGGAACAAACAGACAGACAGACAAACAGACAAAAGCTTTAAAAATTGTATTTTTGTTATTAGTACCGTATATACTTTCAAATGTATTTAGTAAAAAGCTGTAATTTTGACATTACAAACAGACACTTCAATTTTATTTATTTCTATTGATAATAAGTAGTTTCCTTTGAATTGATGTAGTTGAAGTAGAATTAAGTATTGAGGAAATAGCCAGAGGTAATTCCAAGCGTTCATACTCTTAGTTCGATTTACTTGTGAGACATTCAGGAGCGATGAACATCTGATGGTGTGGTGGAAGGCCGTTGTCTCGTAGAGACTACTGTTAGTCGACTTGGAACAACCTGTTGTCTCTACAGTAGATCGTATCACAAGAAGTGATGAAGTTATGGGTAATAGTTTGTTGCTAGCCATTGCGGCATTGTAAGCACTGTGTGTAATCAAATAGATAACTTTAATGATTTCTGTGACTTGTGTGTCTTGGCATACTACACATAATGATTTTTTCAGGAAAACTTGGTGGGAAGAGTGACCAAAAGAGTTATTACCCTTAACCGACGAGCATGTATGCGTAGGTACATATATGGACGTAAAGAAGGCGTTTTATCACGAGCATTAGCAATGCCGCAAATGTCAACCGTGAGTAAAAATTCAAGTTTTGCATTTTAATCCAGACGATCCAAACTCTGGTATAGAGGGATGGTGTAAGGTAGTAAAAATTATTGCACAAAATAAATGCTTAGATAGAAAATTATTTGTTTTGTTAATTGCATTAATAATCGCTTTAAAATATTACTGAAATGGCATAGCCCTTACTTAAGAAACCAGAGTTAAAGTACTGAGCGTCTGAAACTGGTCTTCGCTTATGATCCCTCATCGAATAAATTCCGAAAACAATCATGCATGAAGAAGTTATTACTCGATTTATTATCTCAGTTTTATGTTCATGCGAAATATGATTTACATGGGAGTACATTTTAAAGTTCGAAATATTTAACGATGTACGGGGAAATGTTTAACTTTAACATGCTATGAATTGAGAGAATGACTGGCCTTTTTGTGTTCTAATGTGATGTTGATGAGTGTAGCCGTTTTGCTCTGAATATTGTGTGGTCGACAGACTTGATGTTTGATGTTGAGGGTCGGATTTGTGTGAAGCTGGTCGAAGGGACAATGTCGTACCGGGCCATGCCGCGCGGCTTGTCGTAAGGACACATTCGCCCAGCCTAGGCTTATGAATTGTGGAGTTACACTGATCGAAGGGACAGTGCCGTCCGGGCCAAACACTTGCGGCTGGTCGAAGGGCACACCCGTCCGGTCCAGTCAGGTTAAGCTGGTCGAAGGAGCAGTGCCGTACAGTCCATTCGTGGTCGAAGGGAGGTCGGGTCCAGTGAGGTTGGTCGAATAGATTACAGATAACAGTATCGTCCGGTCTAGACCCGAGCAGTTGGTCGTAGGGACTTACTAGTTTGTATTTGTATGTAATGGCTTGAGATAAAAGTTTGTTGAATTGTATGATTGAGGATGTTAGTATATCCACAAGAGAGTATGTGTTGTTAAAGCGTATATCTTCTATCGATGCTAATAGTGCCATGCAAGCTGTACAAAGAGCTGTGTATCCGTGGTCCATGTAGACATTTGAGATGACGACTGGTCGAAGGAACGCTGTCGCTCACCGAATTAGGTGTCGTCACATGAGAAGACGGGTAGAGAGCCAGTTGTCCGGTCCACAATGTCATATCAACCGTTTTTATTTATAGGATTTTTGAGAGAAAGATCATCGGGAAGCGTTCCATACATTTGCGACTTGGTAACTTAATTAAATTTAGACAATCGGAGGTGACTCGGCTTTTGCTTACATGAGACTAAAATCCCTTCCTCCCTGAGATTTTACATGGGTGTCGAAAGAATTGCGAGTTCCCCAATCATCATCTCATATTGGAATTTTACGTAAGGTTCTGTAAAATGCATGACATCTATGGTGATTTATCACCTGTGTCTGAATTCTGATCATAATACTTCATTAGCTATTTCTTTACATAGAACAGCCGAGAAATGATTTACCTTAGTTAAGACAGCAGGGTTAAAGGTCCACCTGTTTCCACTGGGATAGGAAACTACAATATCGTGGTCTTCGTCGATACCGCTGACTGTGCCCGTTGTGCTAAGGCATTCGAACATTCCATCAGTCCACCCACCGTGGCCATGCTGCAAGGACTGGACTATCTCCAAGTCTAGATCAACATTCACCTGAAAACCGAAATATTTTTTTTTTTAAACTTGACCAAAACTTTATAAAACCTCACTGATTTTTAAAAATACTGCCATGTTCGTAAATTATACAAAAAAAAGAAAACAGTCGCAGTTTAGTCCTACAACCATAACTCTATAAAAGTTAGATTCGAACCTGTATAAGATCTTACTTCACAAGCGGTTACCTAACATTGGTAGAGCCACGCGGCAGCTTTTGCTGTCGCACGGATGGGCCGGCTCGAATCGGGGTGGTACCACGACCTCACAGAATGCCAGCGTGAAGTAGAAGTTTACCTCTGCGTTTCGCTTGGTGAGTGCAGGTGGCCGGAGGCCCTTTTTACTGGAAATGAGGCATTCCATCTTAGTCCTCACGGGTGACAACGCATCTGCATTTTGATTTGTAATAGAGGATAGATGTAGATGTCTATGGGCCGCAGCAACCACTTACCATAAGGTGGACTGTGTGCTCGTTTGTCACCCTTATCGTATTAAAAAAAACCTAACAAGTGAGTGTCCTTTTGCGGGTTACGTGTTACATTTTGTACGATTCGGTTAGAACGAGTGGGTACCTTCGTTTGCTTGTTTTAGGTGCGTGTAGCCGTGAAGCGCTTGATTTTGAGCCTTGACTTTGGCCAGTGTCAGTGCCAGTTTGGTCAGTGTACGCAACAATATGAAATATATTTTCGAAATAAGTAAAGATTGCATGTGTTTGACAGTAGGTGATAACAAGAGCGCACCGCACGATTCAAAACGAATAACTATTAGAGGCTTACTCGGAGCCACTTTAGATTTAGAAATCAAAAGAGAAACTTGTTTTTGATCATTGATACTTGATCGGAGATAGACACATAATCCATATGCTTTTGTTGATCCATCGCAAATCCCAATCAGCTAGTGTGTAGCTGCTAAGTCAATCACGGTTTTACGAGGGATTTTAATCGATTTTATATTAGACAAGTCAGACACAAATGAAATTCAATCGTTACACAGATTGGCGGGAATGAGTTCATCCCAAGACAATTCAATACGTCATAAGTTTTGAAGAAGTATTTTGGCTAAAATAAAAAAAGGTGAAAGCCAAATCAACGGCTCCTAAATACGAGTAACGTGGGACAGTATTGAACGTTTCGTAAACTCCACATTCACAGGAGAGACAGAGTAAGTGAAATAGTCTTCCGTAGGATTCCATTGAACTCCTAAAAACTTAAGCGTTATTGGACCATCATCAGAAAATGACTTCGGAGACTGACAATATTCCATGGGTAACGATCGAAGAAATCAAATCTAGCGGAGCACAGTTAAGAAGATTGATCAAATCTTCTTTAACACTACTTCGATTGAGGAAGCACCTGTAGTAATATCGTCCATATAAGTATGATGCCGAAGAGCTTCAGCAGCACGAAGAAACTGATCACCGTGATCTGCAGCCAACTGATGTAATGTTCGTATCGTTAAGTACGGCGATCTTTTGACTCCGTATATGACGAAGTTCAAGTTCTTGAACAGGCAAAGAAGGGGATTCACGCCATAGTACGTGTTGCCACACTCGATCCTCAGGCCTTATCAAGATGTGCCTGTACATCTTAGATATATCACATGTAAACACTATATTACGGATCCGAAATCCGGTAATAGTATCAACCAAATCAGCCCGTAACTTTGGTCCAGTGTAAACAATATCATTTAAAGTTAGTCCATTAGTCGTCTTGTGACTCGCATTGAATACAACACGAAGTTTGATCGTTAAGCTTTCTGGACGGATCACACAATGGTGAGGAATGAAATATCTACCAGGTGGAATATCTCTTCCCAGCTGCTCATAATCACGCATAAAATCGTTATGAAGAGAAGTAAGTTCTAGTTGTCGACAAAGTTTTTTCTCAAAATTTATATACTGCGACAAAGAATTATTATATGAGCCTCCCATATAAACAGACGACTGCTTCAATAAGATGGGAACAACATATCCGCCGTCCGATTCCCTATAAGTTTAAGTGAAATACAGGCGTTCGACGTATAGAGCTTTGAGTCACTCCCTTGACTTCACACACAGAATGTTGTCCAAGTCCAGCCGCAGTTGTGGTGCATCAACGCAATTGAAAACCAAGTCCTTTTGCGCACTTCATAGTGGTAAAGCAGTCCTGAGCGCCGCTATCGACGAGCGGTCTAACTTGATAGAACGTGCCATTAGAGTCCTGCTCACGCACCATGCACGTCCCGAGCAGCACCACGCACGGCCCACGAGCCTCTCCTACGAACGCACTGGTGTTAGTGTGGGCGCCACTTGAACCGATGGTCACCGCGGTCGGTGATCGAACTTGGTTGTTAATGTGTACCAAAGTGTGATGTTTACCACTACAGATACAACATCTCATTTTTTAGACAATATTTTTCTAGCATTGGAGTCTAAAGATTGCAATGTGGGGCACTTATAGATACTGTGCACTGCGCCATAATAATAGCACTCTAGTGAAGTCAGCTGCTTTGAACTAGTAGGCTTAGACTTAGTAGTGATCACGGAATGTTTGAGGTTCGGTGCCCGCGCTGAAACATTCTTGATCTGTTTACCGTCTAAAAATTGAGAAGATCGAGCCCTAATGTCAACATTAGCTTTTATTTCTAAAACGTTTACATAGTTTTAAAGAAACTGTATAAGACTTTGAAAAGAAGAAATTTCCGATTTATTTTTTCAGATTCGAAGAGATGGCGCGTATCTGAGTCCAGTGCGCGAAACGCTGCGTTAAATAAAATAAAATCGCCTAAGTCATCTAGCTCTAAGGGCATTGACTGACTCACAAAGAATATTAGTATATGTTTGTAAATCATTGAAATTAGGATATTTTAAATAAGGATTAGTTATTTATTTGATCTAAATACGTCACGGCTAAAATGCGCTTATTTTGATAACGCTTAACAAGTTCATTGAAAACAAGCTCATAATTATTTAATTAATTAAGAAATTAGATAATGAAATTTAGTAAGATTCGCGATTGATTTATTATTATCAATTAAGGTTACGAAAGTATCGTAAAATGTTTGCCAAGTGGCAGTCTAGCTTGTACCTTTCCGTGTCGGGCGTAAAGGTAAACTATTTAGGAATCTGTGGTAAAGGTGTAGTTAACGTCAGCGGTGGGTTGCTACCTCGTTTGCAATCCAGTAGGGACATTTCCGCGGCAAAACTTAGGACTTCATAGTACATATAATCAAATGCAGACAACGCTTGAATATCTATTTTTTCTTTAGAAAACAGTGCCAGTTTTAACGAATGAATTTTTTCTGTAAGCAACAAATATTCATCACGAATGTTCTCAATTTTAAGAAACCTAGATTTAAATTGGCTAACTTTCGATGAGCCCGTATTTCAGTGGATAAATCGAAAAGAGTTTGAATAGAACGAAAAACATACTCGCGCTGTGACTTCGATGTAACCAGGACATCTCTGTACGGTGACGACCGATGTCGGAGGGTATAACGAAGACGGGGACAACGCTTTGCAGAGGCATCTTTATGGTAGAGGCTCTGTTATACTTTGGGTTGAGAGTTATCATTATCATCATCATTATCATAGCCCTTCACCATTCCATTGCTGAACATAGACCTCCCCCAAGGAATGCCACAAAGCACGGTCCTGAGCCAGTTGCATCCATCGATTTCCTCCATGTCTTACCAGGTCATAACTCCATTTAGTGGGGGGAGGGGGGAACGCCCAACACTTCGCCTGCCGGCACAACGCTGCCCACGCAAACCTTTATTCCCCATCGGTTCTCGGTTCTTCGAACTAAGAACTATATGGCCGGCCCATTGCCACAATGTCGATTACTCTGGTTTTAGTTTTAATTAAAAATGGGCTCCCTATTCATCTCCATCTGGCCTCGTGAATGCCATAGGCAGGAAGCTTACTCAGCAGACTTGCGTGCTACACCCTGGCAAAAACCTTCGAGATATCGAGTGAAACTGCTAGAGCTTCACCATTCTTCTCGATGGCCTCGCCCCAGAAGTGCATGATCCCCAGTGGATCGTAGCATGTATGTCAGCAGCTTACTGTTCAGTACCCTTTCCATAACTTTACAGAGGATATGGATATGGAGGTAATGGTGATTGGTCGATAATTACAGGGATCGGCACGATTACCCTTCTGGGTACTGTGGTTGCAAGCTTCTTGTAAGATTATTTATTTGATTAGATGATTTGGGCACCGTTCGGGTTTTAAAAGAGAAGCGGTACAGGCGCGTTAGAACAGGAGACAACTCAGACGCACAATAATTTAGTACCCTTGCAGGAATACCATCAGGTTCACCGGCCTTATTCACGTCTAGGTTTTGCAAAGCTCTACATACGCCTTTCATATGGATAGTGACCTTCTGCATCGAAGAATTACAGCAAGGTAGGGTTGGCGGATATATAGAGCCAGTATCTAGACGAGAATTGCTCGCAAACAGAGATGCAAATAAATTTGCTTTCTCAGTCGCGGAGTGAGCCAGTGTTCCATCAAGTTTCTGCAAGGGTGGCAATGAGGGACGGGGACCAAAATTGCTTACTACCAGGAGAGTAGAAAGCAAGTCTGGCCCCTATACGACTGACATGGTCGAACCGTGGCCTGCGGAAAACCCGCTTGCAGGACTTGGCAGCAGAATTAAAAACTCTCTTTTTCGCACGAACTTCTGAGCCCTATCCTAAACCCAGGCCTGATAGGCAGACTCTATTCAAGCCTCAGCACGAGCACAGTCCGCATTAGCATGCCCGAGCCTTGTGACCGAGCGCGATGTCGGAGAACGGAATAAAATATTCCATTCCCTGCCGTATCACGTTCGCAACCGCATCGGCAGAGCAGGAGGGCTCATTCGAAGAAAAGCACACTTGCCGCCACGGATAGGATGCCAAAAAGTGCCGCCGTCTGCTGACTCGTATCGCCATACTCTCCTTGTGCCCGCTGGACAGTCATCCGGAGGAGATTATCGGTACGGATTTCACAAGACAGTGATCGGATGATCCCAGCGGAGCTGAGACTGATACTGAGTGCCTGTCTGGGTCTGTTGTCAGCAGAAGGTACAAGCGTCAGACATACACCTAATTGGGTGTATGTCCGACTACATCTGGTACCCGCGTCGCTACTTAAATCGGCTGAGTGAGATCTAGTTTGCGCGCTTCTCTCCCAGCATGGTCGGTTTTCTCGTATGGGAACAATCACTACTTGTAGTGGGCGTTAAAGTCCCCGAGAAAAATAATCTCGGCAGACGGACACCGTTATTGGGCTTTATTTGCCATCTCTGCCATGTGTTCAATGAGCCCGTCATCTCCTGGTCTTCGCTGTGCGATCAATACTGGCACAGAGGGTTTTCTCTACACCGGTGTCCACCAAAAGCCACATCGGTGAAAACCCTAAAACCTCATAGCAACGGAGACGCTGACAGTAAATGTCATCGCGGACGTATACACAGAATCCAGCACGCTATTTGAACTTATGTTCAAGCGTGTAACCTAGGTAGTTGAGATACGTCACATCAGACGAAATTGCTGTGTCTCCGTTATGAAGAATAGGTGCGGCTTCTCGATCGATCGGCTTGAGGTGGTGGTGGACCGGATCAATGTTAGTGTGCAACCCCTTAATTAAGGAGGAATATCGCAGGCTGAAGTTGCAGTATAATGATTCGTTCCGCGTGTTGTTCCGTCAGCCACGATACTGTAGCGCGTCCCAAATGTTCGCAGAGGCCCGTGTCGTTGGTTTGGATGCGTTGATCCGTCACCGTATCGCGCGATTTAGAAGTTTTGTTTTTAGGTCGCAGAATAATCTCATCAAAATTATTTGTAATATGTATGCATGTAGTGAAATTTTTAGTAGGTGGTCAAATTTATTAAAATCTTAATAATAAAATGTAATAATATCATTGATTAACCAATAATTATAATTAAAATTTAAAGTATAGTGTAAAAAAAAAATTAATTTTAATTTTGTAATGGATCTGTGTTGTCTGTATCAAATAAATTATTATTATTATTATTATTATTAATGTTCATTAGGTGCACTTTAAGCGGGAGGCAGTGTCGCCGTTATTTTACCATAATCTTTTTAACTTAAATAAAATATTTCACCTGTCAATGACATGAAGACAGCTATTTTGAAATATATTTATAGGTTAAATACACGAAATTCAGTCTAGTACTCTCTTTAAATCAAAATTTATAGAAAATAACTATTTATAATAGCGTTTTATATATATGGAAAGGCATGCCCGAGGCAAGTGTGACATAAATTAATTAAAACTATAATGGACATTTAAATACTTCTACTCTGTAAGGATTTAACATAGAGAATTCAGTTTCATAACATCAATTATTAAGTGCTTGTTTGTTTGATCAAGCATTTTAGTATCTAAAAGTATCGTTTTGTAATATAAGATAATTAAAACTAATTGAGGTGGAAGGCTGTCACACTTACCCCATCAATGAGGGAAGTGGGACAATACGCTTATTTTTAGATACGCCAATCAAAGATATCACCACCATCATCATCATCATCATCATTACAGCCCTTTACAAGTCTACTGTTGAATATAGGACTCCCCCAAGTAATGCCACAATGCACGGTTCTGAGCCACCTGCGTCCATCGACTTCCTGCATGTCTTACCAGGTCGTCACTCCATCTAGTAGGGGGTCGTGCTACACTTCACCTACCGATATGAGGCTACAGAAATATAATATATAAAAATATAAATAATCAAAATTGCTAATATTTTAAACGTGAATATATTTACCTGGTCTCCTACTTGCAACCCATGGGGACCTGTACGGCCAGGACCTAACTCTCCTAGAAGGGGTAGATGTTCTTTATAAACATTTTGACCTTTAACATCATTCACCACCTGTAATGCAATATATTTATAAATAAATACATTAACTAATTTTAAATTCATAAATAAAGTGTATCTCAATTGACCTTTAGATCTGCCATGCCTTCAAAGCCAACCCTGTATAAATTTTTAGCACCGTTGTCCCACACTACATAGGCCGCAGAGCGAGGGCTTGCAGCAGACCAGTCTTGAATCTCATTTACTTTCCCACGCCTACCGTTTCCGCCATCTTGATCCTCCCATTGCCAATCAACCTATAAAATAAGTTATAACTTTCAGAATGAATTTGATTTATCATTTATTGCATTATGCATTTCTTAACGTTTGAATTTTATTTCAGGTAATGTATATGACAAAGTTATAAACTTGATTAATATCATATCGTTGGAAATAAAGGCCACCAAGAGATTTCTAATTAGACTAATATTACTACTTTGGTAAAGAAATTCCGCTGGATATCTTGTTTGTTCTTCCCAGGACTTCAAAGGCTTTTTCAAAATAAGTGGTAAAAGGAAATAATGACTTTCAATTAGAAGTTTATACGATTTCTATCTCAATTATAATCTGTTATGAATAATAAATATTCTATTATATTCAATTCTATTGTGGATTTTATAATCATTTGTCATATACGATCCTATTAGTCTTACAATATATAAAACTTTTACTAATATAAATTTTTCTTCAGTGTCTTTAAGCATATAAATAAATATAAAACATAGAAAAAACAGTCTACAACATGCCACAGCAGAGTTCTTCATTTGCAACTTACAATGGTGCTAATGGGGATCAAACTTGTATTGCATTCATTTGGACATCCTGCTTACTGGAAACAAGGCATTCCATCTTAGTCCCCAGGGGTGACTACGCATCTGCATTTTAATTCTTCATTGAGGATAAATGTAGATGTATACAGCGTCCATTTACCATAGCCATAGCAAGCATATGTGATGAGTTTTATCTTAGTAGTATAAGTAATGCTTATCAGCTGGTGCCATCTTAGAAAGGCCTATGCCCAGGACTTGAAAAGGCTACTAATATTGTGTCTCTTTCTCTTATCTAAACAAAACTAAGCTTGTTCTTTTAACAAAACATTAATAATTAGTTTTTAAAAAATTTATTTACTGTTCAATTTTTAAAGTAATTTATATTTTAGTACCTATCTGGGTAACAGAGCTATGCTCGGCGTAAAATATTATCTAACTAAAGGAAACCTATCCAGACAAACTTGGAAAGCAAGTCAAATAATATCTTAGTACAAAATTAAATCCAAATATGTAGGGCCGTAGCCAAGAAACCAATAATTACACATATTATGTATATTATACCTACCCCTCTAACAACTCTTGCGCCAGGAAAAATGCCCCTCACAGCGTTCTTCTTGCTTTTGCGTCGTGGTTCGACTAGGCAGCGCTGTGCACCTGGAGCACTTATGCGGTAGAATCTATGACGTAAATGATGCTTATCTCCATGATAACAAACAGAACAAAGATCATAATTACTACATTCGGCACACTTCCAGCGAATACCTGAAAAAAAGGTTCCATATTGCAGTAATAACAAATCAATTTAATATACTATATAAGAAATATACAAATCAGGAGATGGATAGCGTTTTCCTAATAATGACTAAAATAAACTATGGTTACCAACCTGCTTAAGCATGGTAACCATTGCAAATATCCCTCCTATGAAGTAATCTATGGGGAAGGCCTATGTTCAGTAATGGACTTTAATACGATGTAACGGTAACGGCACCTGCTGACCTGCTACTAAACATTAAATCTAAGTTCAATGTACTAAAATGTAAAATGTAAAAAGCTGAGCTTTAAACCTGTTGACAGATTTGGTTTTGGTGATGTGGTATTGTAAAAAAAAATCTCATGTTCCACACACTATCTACTCTTCACAATTTTTCGTTTGATCAGAATATCTCTTTCAGTAATTATGTTATGGTTTTAGAACTTGTGATGGGATGTAATGATGATAACGATGAATAACTCAAATGAAGTGTTACACTTTTGCGGGTACTATACAAAAAAGGAGAGTCAAGACTGACGGGGTTTTGTAAGTGTTCAGGAATTTCAGTATCACAATGTTTGGTAGTTAAATTAGGCAAAGGTTTGAAGTTCTTCCAGAGAACTTTACAGTTGTTTAAATTATGGTTTACATACTGATTGAAATACCCACACCTTTCATTGTTTGATGCTTTAATTACAGTATATCATTGAATAACTGTTTCAATTCAGTGATATTATGAATAAAATTTTAACTAGTAAATTTAACCCTAATAGTATATTAATAATTTTTGTTGGGAGAAGAGGCAATATGAACAAGAATCAATTATTAAAATATATTGAATATCTCAATAACATAAATGTGGTTAAAGTTATCTTGTTTACATTGCCTTACATAGAGGGGTGGCCACAGGAAAATAAACTAAGACATAATTTAAATTTAATGATGCATAACTTGACATGTAACAATAACTTAAATTTGACATTTAATTGTAAGAATAATAATGATAAATTTCATTTAATTGATATTAATAATTTAACTAAGAAATTTTTGACAAGAGATAGGTATTACCTATCAAAGTATAGTTTAAGACTGGTAGCAAATATATCTTATTATTTATATTTTAACTCAGTCAATGATTTGGCTACCTTGACACCTGCTTCTTTTGAGCAACAAAATAATTTTACATTTGATTTGGAAAAGGTTCCAAGTAATTTAAATTAGATAATAAGACAATAGAGGTAATCTCTAGCAAAGATAATTTAAATAGCTTAGAACGCAACTTACCAATACATAATTATGCAATTTTACAAAATAACAATAATAAAAACTGTATCAACCTGGTGCATCAAAATATACAAGGTATGTTAGGCAAAGAAATTGAATTATTTTTAAATAGTAACAGTATACATATTTTATGTATTACAGAACATTGGTTGAAAGATTACAACTCCATATTTAATTTCAGTAATCACCAGGTGGTCATCTTGTTCAATAGAGATACTAAATTACGTGGTGGCTCCTTAATATTAGCTAATAAGTCCTTATCATGTAAAGAACGTAAAGATATTGTGAGCCTCTCTGTTGAGCGAACTGTAGAAATGGCATGTGTTGAGCTTCAGCACCTTAATGTTGTCAGTGTTTACAGACCCCCATGTTTAAGTTATGATACTTTTGAAAAAATTATGGAAGAAGTTTTAGTTAAGCTTAATAAACAGAATAAATCTCTTGTAGTGTGTGGAGACTTTAATATCAATCTCCTGGAAACTTCCTCCATCAGTATTAAATTTTGTTCTTTGTTCAAATCCTATAATCTTAATAATTTATTCTTTGAAGCTACACGTATTGCAGGGTGTAGTGCAACTTGTATTGATAATATTTTTACAGGTGTTGTACCAATCAACAAATCAATAATTCAAAAACTTAGTTCAGATCACTGTGTACAACTGGTTTCGTTACCTTATATGCACAAAAAACAGGTAATTGAGAAAATTGTGTTTGTTCCTATTAATGCAAAACGCCTGGCGAGATTTAGAAGTAATATGGTAAAAAACCTTCCATCCCTTTCTTATAAGAACAATACAGACTATTTATATAGATAATTATTTACCTTTATAAACAATGAATTTAATAAAACATTTACTTCTAAAACATTCTCCAGAAACAATCGCAAGGCATTTAATAAGTGGGCGACAGTAGGAATTCATAAAAGCAGACGAAGGTTATATGACCTTTACCATGAAAGATCGTATAATCTTTCCGATGCTTTTAATGAATATGTAAAAAATTATTCTAAAATGTTTAAAAGAGTTTGCTCCACAGCCAAATCATTACATATTAGTAACAAAATTAAGACGGCTAAGAATAAATTTAAAATGACGTGGAGTATAATTAACAGCGAAACCGGTAAAGACAAACCTCGTAACTCAAACTATCAATTAAAAATTAACAATGAATTGACTAAATCAAATCAAGAAGTTGCAGCGGTGTTTGAGAAATATTTCACTGATGTTCCTATCTTGACAACAGAGTCATTGAATACTTCTCCAACTGTCGCCGAGTCATTACTTAAACAGAATGTTAATACCTGTTTAAAAGAAATTAGATTTGAAAAAGTATTACCGCATAATATTGTAAAATACTTCAAAACCATTGATGTAAAGAAAACCGCAGATTTGTGTGGGATTTCCGTTACAGTGATTGCGTCCATAATAGATTTAATTGCACCTCATCTTGCTATTATTTTTAATACTTGTATCGATTCTGGTGTGTTTCCTGATTTAATGAAGTATAGTAAAGTAATACCTTTATTTAAATCTGGTAGTACATTGGACCCCGCTAATTATAGACCTATTTCTGTACTACCAACTCTCAGTAAAATTTTTGAAAAAATAATTTTGGATCGGTTGTTAATTTTTTTTAATACAAATAAATTACTTCATAAAAATCAATTTGGTTTTACAAAGGGTCGCTCGACGTCTGACGCCGGTGTTGAGCTTATGAAATAAATTTTTAATGCCTGGGAGAATTCACAAGATGCCTTAGGTATTTTCTGTGACCTTTCCAAGGCTTTCGATTGTGTTCATCGTGATATATTAATCAGGAAACTACAACATTACGGTGTAAAAAATTTGGCGCTTAGACTTATTACTTCATATTTAAGTAACAGAACTCAAAAAGTCGTCATCAATGGTAAATGTTCCTCCGGATCGGTAGTATCAATGGGCGTTCCTCAGGGCTCAATTCTTGGCCCATTCCCTTTCTTAATCTATATTAATGACTTACCTTATCTTGTAGGGGACAATCACGATATAGTATTATTTGCTGACGATACATCTTTAATTTTCAAACTCAAACGGCAGTCAATTAAATATGACGATGTAAATAATGCTCTATCGAAACTAGTACATTGGTTTAACGCCAACAATTTGCTCTTAAACGGCAATAAGACAAAATGTATTAAATTTACAATACCTAATGTAAAACATTCGAAAACCAATGTGCTCTTAAATGGGGAGGAGTTAAGTCTTGTGGATACCACTGTTATTCTCGCTATTGACGCGAAATTTCAATGGGGCCCCCATATATCTAAATTAGCAAGCAGACTTAGTTCTGCAGCATATACTGTAAGAAAGATTAGAAGTCTCACAGATGTTGAGACAGCTAGGTTAGTGTATTTTAGTTACTTTCATAGCGTAATGTCTTATGGAATTTTGCTAAGGGGTAATGTGACTGATATTGAAGCTATATTTGTTTTTCAAAAGAGAGCCGTACGGGCGATTTATAATCTAAATTGTAAAGAGTCCCTCATAGAAAAATTTAAAGAAATAAACATATTAACTTTGGCATCGCAATATATTTATGAAAATGTAATGTATGTACATAAAAACATAAATAGCTAATAGTAATATTGTCTATGCTTGCTCAATTCAGACAAACAATAATGCTTATAAGCTTTACTACAAAATTACATTATTCAGAGATACATAGTTTCCTTGCCCTGAGTATGATTGAGGGGGTGTGTCTAGGGTGTGGCAAAAAGGAAAACTAGGGTTTAAACCGAAGTACCATCTTGATTACAAATCACCTGCCAAGTATGAGATAGCTTCTCAGTGAATGTAGTCAAATTAATAATAAGGATCCATTCCAATGGATTATTATTGTGCGTGTCAGTAACTGATACTGAAAATATATTTATACTACAGAAAAAGTTATATATACAAATAACTGTTCCGCGCGACTTCGCCCGCATAGAGTTTATTACGATTAGATTTCGTGCGTTTTAATTTTTTGCATGGAACCCTAATTCTTTTTCTAAAGTTAAAATGGCCTAAGTCGCTCCTTATAATATTAGCAATGTGCCAGCGAAAGTCCCGTCAACATCGGTCCAGTCGTTTCGGAGATTAGCCGGAACAAACAGACAGACAGACAGACAAAAATTTTAAAAATTGTTTTTGTTATTAGCAACTCAACCGTCCATGGTGACTACAGTCCCCAATAAAATGATTGCCTCACCTGTCCATGGTGACTATAGTCACCAAACGACATCTTTCGGTTTAAATGTGTACAGTGCAAAAGATAGCTGTTATTAATATAGTAAAAAATTATAGATGGTGTTATTATAAATTTGTCAACTGTGAGAGTGAATTTTATCTGTATAATAGTAACAAAATATTTAGAAAAAAAAAGTTTAAATTAAATTTCGCCATTTTTGTTTGTAGTGTGAGAAATTCGATCAAAAATGTGATGAAAATTTATCTTATATTTTATATTTATGTTTTTATACATTATTTCTAATGTTATTGTACATCAAACTGTTAAATAATATAATAATTGTGAAGATATTTTCTTTAGGAAATATGTATCCTTACGACAATTCAAAAACGTTTACATATAATAACTTAGCTCGAAATTTAATCACTATAAGTGATCATCGTTTATTTATTATATGTTGTTTATTCTAATCAGTTTTTGTTGTTAAATAAATGCTAAATATAAAAGAATGATTCATTATTAACACGTTGATAGCCATTTATAAACGAAATATCCGTTGAGATGTGTCTAGAAATTATTAAGACTGATTTTTATTTATTTATTTATTTATTCAAATTTATATTCTTAAATAAACAAATGTTACCCCCACACTACAATTTTCTCCTGTATCGTGGAGGCAGTTTACAAACACAAATTGCACAAGGACAAATATCCAGACCCTGGAACAATTATTTACAGGCCATACAAATACTTGTTCCGTGCGGGATTAGAACCCGTGGCCCCCAGCGCAGCAACTCATTGGTAAGCCACTGCGTCATGGAGCTGTCAAATATTGTAAACAGCCATATTGTAAACATTATATACTTATGTATATTGAGTATATAAGATATTATTGATATTGGTGTCATTTTAATTGTCTCCAGTAAATATCATACTTTTCTCGTAAAACTCGAAATTAAAAAATAAATACGATTTTTTTTGATACTCCCATTTTTAAGGTTTATATAAAGGCTGAAACCTTAATTTTTAATTTGACTAATTTTCTTTTAACAAAATTAAATTTTGAATTCTTTGAGTCTTTTGAGAATATTTTTTATTTGAATGTAGATATAGTTGTTTTTCAGTAGTAATCGTTTCTGTTGAGACAGTCCCGCGCTGTTATAAAAAATAGTGACATTTAATCTCGCACGGAAAAATTATTTGTATGGCCTACAAATAATTGTTCCGGGTCTGGATGTTTGTCCTTGTACAATATATGTTTGTAAACTTCCTCCACAATACAGGAGAAAATCCTAGTGTGGGGGTAACGTTTATTAAAATAAGAAAAAAAAAATGTGCAGACAGGTGAGGCGAGAATCACTCGCGCGGCGTGGACAGTTAAGTGGTTAGTAGCATATATACTTTTGCATGAATTTAATAAACAGCTGTTATTTTGACATTACAAACAGACACTTCAATTTTATTTATTTATGTAGATGTAAGACCAAGGGACTCAATCAAGAGTCCTTAAAGAAATTAATATTTTAATAAGTGCATCACAATTAATTATAAATAATATTGTTGATGTTTAAAATTATTTTAATACCTTTAGCAAAATTAGTGATGTCCATAATCTTAACATGAGCAGTGAATTTTAACTTGCTGTTCCAGAGTATAGGCTCTTCCGTAAATATATAATGTGAAAACTATTTATTGAAACTCTTTGTAACAAAAAACAAACTATTGAGTAAATAATAAAAAAATTAGTAGAACTTTGTTGATTTTTAAGTGACTTCAAAAAAGGAGAAGGTTCTTAATTCAGATGTTTATTTTTTTAATGTTCGGGCATAACTATCATATATAGACAGATCTGCAAATTTCTTTTTTGTTCTAAAGAGGTTTATTTGGAGATGGTCCTATTTAAAGTTCATAAAGATCTGATGATGAGTTTCAGTGACAGACAATAAGTGCCAGCAAATCAACTTCAATTGTTGTACCAGTTTTAAAATCATATTTTTCTTCATAATATACACAAAAAAAGCTTATCATTTTAAAAATTGTCCATAATCTTTTTTCCTTAATATTGCTTATATTAAACTATTAAATAATATTTAGAATACAAAACTCTTATCACTTTCCAAACTTAGTTAATTTAATGACAGCTAATAGAAGCAAAAAAATATATTAAATAATTTGCATCTGAACAAAATATTCATCTGAACGACATATTCAACTGAACAAAATATTCACTTACCAAAAATAGGCTGTTGCCGGCATGTATCACACATTGTCCCTTCATGTTTTACACCAGTTGGAGCACTGTCCAAGATACGTAAATCATATGCTCCAGAACATCTATAATTTGCTGCAGTTCCATTATCCCAAACTACCACAACTTCTTCAGGCGATTCGAAATTTCTTACAGTACCAACATGGCCATCTCCACCGTCCTGTAAAATTATATCATTCAATAATTTTCTGTAATAAAACTTCGATAGGGTATAATCATATTGTTGGAAAATAATAAACAATATGAATCTTATATACCTGTTTGCCCCACTTCCAGTCGGGACCCCGAATAACACGCGCTCCTACACCTTCCATCATAAATCTAATTGTTCTAGACGATGTTGAAGAATTCGGTACATTCGACTCAATGGTTGCAACGTTTTAAAAACAGTTTAAAAGTTTTAAGTTAGTTCAGGCAGGAGCCAGGACTTAAATCAACTTCTTGATATCAACATCAACAGATCAACAGTAATCCTGACAGTGACAGTTAATTTTTTAAACATTTTCAAAAATAGGTACTACAATAATGTCATACCGCCACTAATAACTAAAACGAAAATAATATTAAATTAAAATAAATATTAAAATGTTATTCAGTTTCCAGAAGTGTTTATTATCAATACAAGGGTCTCCTATTATATTATCAATATTATCAATTATCAATAGAAGGAGCCGCTATTCCATAACATTTTTAGCCATTGAAGATTAGGTAAAGTATCAACTATCAATCTTAGCTTATATTATGTTGACAAGAAAGAGAATGCCATCAAAAACATAACTTGTAAAAAAAACCAAGTCTCACAACTCAGTTCTTCTACCGTAAAAAGTTGTGAGATCCATGTAATACTAAGTCGGTTAATTTATTCAGTCCCTCCTTAAAGGTCCTTCTGTCCTAAGTTATTACGTAATTAGCTAACCTAACAACATCTTATAGAGACCACATCAGTACTAAAAATCTTTTATATTTTAAATAAAAAGCCGTGCCGCTTTTTTGCTCGACTTCGCGGGGGCACTGCCGTGCTCCCGCCAAGTCGAGCAAAAAAGTTGTTTGTAATGTTTAAAGTTAATTTAAAATTCAACAATTTTTATTTGTATGCGTGCTTGTGTGCGTGTGTGTATTTAGTGTGTGTGACTGCGTCTCATATTATAGTATTCTACCTCAATATGAGAACAAGCATACATGGAATCCTATAATAAGAACAAAGTTTGTGTTTGACTTCCCCTATAGATTATTTCATAGGCTCATAGGTTGGCAACCACAGTTTTCAAAGTGAAAATTTCTTTACAATCGTTGCGATTTGAAGCTCGATGAAACGAAAAAGCAACACTAAAAGGAGACAAACATATACATCTATAGGATTTATAGAATGAGATAGAATACAGTGTTATTAGCAACAGTAGCTTATTGGCAGAGTGAGGACCACGAACTCAAAAGATTGTGGGTTCAAATTCGCCATTCGACTACCCTTACGATAAACATATTATGACGCCGTTAGAATATTCTTGGAATAACTCTGTTATTCCGTGCAAGAGACTAGTTCATTTATTTAATATTTTTAATTGTACACCTTAGTGAAAGGAATTACAAAAGGCGGACTTAATGCCTTTTGATATTCTCTCCCAGTCAACCCGGGATGTGCGGAAATAAAGTAATAGGTACCAGAAATAAAAGAACATTATAATAGAACTATAATAAATAATAGAATAATAGAACATCCACACTGTGAGGACATCTATGAGGAAGATATATGTTTAGCAGTGGTGTTTCGTAAGCTGTAACATTTTTAACCTTGATCTTAACCTGTGTATGAATATAATGGAATTTTGCATTTTTAAAAATATGCGAATGTTTTCAGATTCAGCCAGTGTTATGTAGTTATCAATTCTGTATTCAATGGATGATTTCCAAGTTCTTGTGTACTTGACTGATCTAGGCTAGCAGAGAGAAGAGATTCAGACTAGGCTGTTTGGTCCTTTGCCTGCCTTAATTGGCGAAACCTATAACAAACTATATAATATTATAACAGCAAATAGAAGTATTCACTGTCACTGTCACGTATCCTCTTATAGTCTGTGACTCTGTGACTGTCAGCTATCATCCACAAACTAATAAGTAATAACAGCCTTGAAAACTGAAACTGAAATGAATGTCTGAAATTTCAGATCACAGTCAAAATACTCTTTTCTTTGCTCAGGTCTGATTTCTGAAATGAAAGTGATAGTGGTAGTTGCGTAGTGTTCTGTGGTAATTGCCCAGTAGTTGCCAAACTAGGAAAAAATAATAGTAAAATATTCTTCCGTATTAGTATTCTGTGTTGTGTTCTGTGGTTCTGTATCCTGAAAGAATTCCCCTATTCTCTTATTTTTACAAAAGTTCTCCATTATTTAATATTAATCTATGATAATTGTGATTACCGTGCCTTAAAAACTTTTAATTTTATTTGTATTTGTCTAGGCACAAAAAAATTGGCTATAATTCTAATAAATCTTCAGTAATGTCTGCTAACCGCAACAAATACGAAAGAGCGCGACGGCGACTCGCAGCTGTTACATTTTTGTCAAATATATCTCTGGATGGTACATTTAAAGACACACAGCCGTGTCAGTTTTTGGAAAAGACACTGAAGATTAATAAATGTGATACTGAGTTGAGAAATGGTGATACTTGTCGTAATATAGAGAAAGATATTATAATACGAAGTAGTGTCCGTAGTCATAAAATACCACAATCTAGTCAAGCAAATCTTATGGGAGGTGACAATAATTCTTTAAGTTCAGATTCAGATCTTGCACCTGCTACCCCTATAAAGATAGGGGGAAACTATTCTTTTAGAGAAAGGTAAGTAGTTGCCTATCTATCTACATAAGTAATAAAATCCCAAGTTGACTGGTAGAGAATGCCAAAAGGCACTCCATTGGGTAATCCTTTTTATTAATGTGTTTAAACAAGTGTAAATAAATAAATAATAAATAAATATGTTGTGCTAATTTTGGTCTTTTAATATAAGGTGTCAGTCTGGAAATGCAGATTTATATAAAGACAAACATTCATCATTCAGAAGCCGAAAAATACATCTTCCATCTTCAATTAACCAAGAGGAAAAAAGCAGTACAGAGAGTTTGAATACAGGTAAATATTAATATCATTTTTTTATTAGTATTTTATTTATTTGTTTAATAAAGTTATTGAATTTTAACATTAGAAACATTTTGTGATTTTCAATATCCATCATCAGAACATTTGACAAAAATGAAATACTCCTTATTAATTTCAGGAAGATTTAGGACTAGCAATACATGTATACCTGAGAATCATTTGCTTGCTAAAGAAGTTAGAGTTGTTCGTCCATCAAAAGGTGTTACATTTAGAGATGAAAGGCTTGCAATAGCACCATCCCAGGGTGTTCCTTGTGCTTTATATAGTACAATTCCATATTCAAAAACTATTCGCAATGCAAGGTATGTGAGCTTAGAATTAAAGTGTACTTTATTTATTATATTTTAAGCATCTTCATCATAATCCAATCAATTCAACATAAGTAAATCAATTTAATATAACTGTTGAATATAGACTTACTCTTGAATTTGCTATTAAATACAATGTAGAGGTCATTTATTGATTATTTTACTAATTTGTCATACCATTTAGTGGGTATCTCCTATACTGCATTAGTAGTAGCTGCAACATAAAATCTTTTGGTTACATGAGCATTACATGGAAATAAATTACTTCTGATGAGGAACTAAGTATTTCGTTTTGAACTAAATCTTACTAATTAATATTACATATTATATGGTTTTTAGTGTAAAGAATCAATAGAACTATAAAATTTACTAATGAATGGGGGTTGGGAGCGAAACAAATCTTTTAATGTAGTCTTTAGAAGTATATTGCAGTAGTGTTCTGCATCTTTCAGTTAAAATAAGTTTATTAGTAAAAAAAAAACATCAGGTTTTAAATTTATAAAGGTGTGTGGAGCCGCATGTTAAAGCTAGTATATCTATACAAATAAATAAAATTGAAGTGTCTATTTGTAATGTCAAAATAACAGCTTTTTACTAAATGCATATGAAAGTATTTACGGTACTTGTAACAAAAAAAACAATTTTTTAAAGTATTGTCTGTTTGTCTGTTTGTTCTGGCTAATCTCCCAAACCAGCTGGACCGATTTTGATGGGATTTTCACTGGCAGATAGCTGATGTTGAAAGGAGTAACTTAGGCTACTTTTATTTAAGTAAAAGAATTAGGGTTCCGTGTAAAAAATTAAAACCCATGAAATCTAATAATAACACCGGCGAAGTCGTGGGGAACAGCTAGTTATAATATACAGGAAGTCGATTGATGGATAGATAAATAGATAACCTAAAGGATACAGGTGTCTCAAGATGGTTCTTTTAGGCATTATTTGGGGGAGGCCTATGTTCAGCAGTGGACTGGTATAGGGCTGTAATGATAATATTAATATAATATAATCAAGGTGCCTATAATATAATATATACAAATAAGTGCATGCTTAAACCATTATAGTTACACTATAATATGTTCCATGCAGTTGACAGCTTCCCTTATTTCTAGATTCTCAACTAAGCAAAACATCAGCCATGAGGTCATCACCAGATTTAAAAAAAATTACAAATGTAGTCATATTTGTATTTCATTTTTTTTATGTAAACACACAGTACTATTTTAAAATTTATAAATTCAATCTTATATAAGAATAGAAAACCCAAGTAAATCAGTAAAATAGTTTAAATAACTATTAAACAATAATTTCAATTTGTTTTTATAGTTCTGTGAACATATTGACAAGCTGTTAGTGCATAGCAAATATGTATCCCCTTTTTTCGACATTAGCTAGTCCATGGGTTGTAGTTGTTGCTAGTTTCCATACAAGTGCAGCATAGTTGCTATATGGTAGTGAGGCAGCAGAGGAGCTTTATGCAACATTCTATATCTCCTTGAAACTTTCTATGTTATGCAGGTGAATTAAAATATTGCAATGATATCTACATGTTTGTGAATTTTAAAATATGTCAAGAATCCAGTATAAATTTGCCAATTTGTTCTGGAGCAAGAAGGAAGAGATGTCCTACACAGAAATGAGAGAAGGCTTGTGCCCAGCATTGTCACATACATAATATGTAGATTGTTGCTTTCCATCATATTGTTTTACTAAAATAAATATTTCCATTTATACATTTCAGGTCAGACATTAGGAAAGATGGTGTTCGTAGACGTAATACTTCTGGACCCAGACCACTTTCAGCTATTACAGACAATGGGATGGATCCATTTGATCTCCTTGGTCTGGAAAGAGCAGAGAATGGTCAAGATGTTTCATACTCAAAGTTATTGGTGCCAACTCGTGTATGTACACGGGAGCAATATCGTAAAATGTATGATAGTGACATGAATGACAAAACATCATGGAAGATACTGAATCGCCACCCACATGTTATAGCTAGGTAAGTCACAACTGTACCACAACAGTAATATGAAACTATTGTTTTTTTTTTGTTAAAATTGGTTCCTTTATAATAATTTTCAAAACTATGTACTTATTTATTTTCAATTCCAAAAATGCTTAGCTGCAACCAAGAATATTAAAATGTTGCTTATGACTATAAAATGCTTAAACATTTTGGTAAGTACTAAGTAGTTACCTTTTTCTGATGTAATATATACATATATTTTTTTGCATATTTGTTAATGAACCATGCATTGCCAAATGATTGTCTGTATATTTTATCAATGTTTCATTATTTTCCCAATTTTTGCAACCTTTTACTCACACCACATGATTTTGACTCATACCTACATTTATTATGATTTTCTTAACACATCAACATTTATACTAGGTACTAAGATTAACTTCAATTAATATTTCATTCATAGGTTTCATATGGGTATTGATTTTGATAAATTTTGTATATATAATAATAAAATAAAGACCTTTATTTGGACAAGTATTGATTGAAATATTCTTTCATATTTAATTAAAACTAGTTTTGCCTCGACATACCTGTCTGTATGCCTCTTTCATCAACACAGACCATTTTTCCCTGTCACCAGCCACTCTTGTCCATAGGCCACCTGTAACAGCCTTTATTTCGATGACCCATCTTAGGATGACCTGCCTTGTTTCCTTCCCTACATTTGTATACATACCATATAAATTGAATTTCTCTTATAACAAGTTAAGCCCTTTTGATAGAAAATTGATAAATTACATTATAAAGTTCTGTAGTTGTTCATAAACTGGTACAAATTAATATTTTGATGACAAAAGAGTGTCAATTTCAAGATTAGATGATATGCCTATCATAAATATATATTTTATAAACAATATATTGTAAATAAAGTGATGATGAGAAATTATAAGTGGGTTCAGTAAACTACTCTCCTTCTATATATTTTGGGAGATTAATCTCAGTGTGTGGTAGACTTAGGTTTGTCATACTAGCTTAATGTTCTCTGCTTGCGGGGCGTCGTGTGACGGGTTGTCTATTTCCTTTTAATCAGGTGGAGGACTGCTGCCACATGCATCACACGGGTCTGGTTCGTTTCTTGTCTGTTGACTTGAGTTTGCTATGCACTGAAAAGCTCCAAGTTTTAACCTCCTATTCGTAGTTCTTCATGAAACATGCTTCAGTTAACAATACTATTCGAATATTAATTTAAAAAAAAAACCTATGGAGGCTTATTTGCCGTTTCATTTCCATCTAGTTAGATAAATCTCATTTAGAAATGGTCGTAGATTTGGCAAAAAAAGACAGTAAATAAATAAAATTAAAATTTTCTATTAAATCAATACAATTGATACACACATTATATTAATCTGTTGCATATCCATTACAATTTACTCAGCTGCCAACCACCTACTTCATATCATCGCTAACATTTTAAATTTCAGGACTAAGTTATTGACGAGGCACAAGGATAAAAAATGGTAATCATTAAAAAATAGTAAACATCTCTTAAAATGCTATTCTTATTCTTCATTGGTACTAAATAGGAGCTAAATACATGACTCGTCGTAAAATTAAATTATTTCAAGAAATTTTAATAAATAACCTTTCAAAAATCAACTAATAACAATCTATTTACTTGTCATGTATTTATTTCCAAGTCGTCCACTGGAGAATGCTAAAATACTAGTAGAGTTTACAGTAATTTCTAACAAAAAATATTTATTTTATCGCACAAAATATTAGTGCATGGTATAATGATAATTTTTATTAATCAAATTTATGATATATACTTATGTATATTTATAATGGTGGGCGAGAGAGAACCTGAACAGCACAAATCAGAACAAAATCAATTAATCTCGCCTCAACTTAGTAATCCGTTTGTAATGATAAAATCTACTACATCTAATAGAGATAAGTTCAGCAGATTCAAAGTAAATTTGGATGATAATCACACATTAGCTTCACAATTTTACTTTTTTGAAATTACACGCTTCATAACTTTTCATGGATAATTCAGCATGTTAATATATGACAAATAAGCTGTTTCCTGCGACTTCGCGTGTAATGTAGGGTCTTAATTTTGTTGCGCGGAACTCTGATTATTTTTCTAAAATATAAGCAGCGTAAGTTACTCTTTATAACATGAGTATATCTACCAGTGAAAGTCCCGTCAAAATCGGTCGTTTAGTAGATTAGCCGGAACAAACAGACAGACAGATAAAATTTTAAAAATTTTATTTTTGTTATAAGTATCGTATATACTTTTATATGCAATTAGTAAAAAGCTGTTATTTTGACATAACAAACAGACACTTAAATTTTATTTATTTGTATAGATTGTTGGCCCCTGCACTGCTGCGTTCCATTCTGAAGGGTACAAGAGAGCCAGTATAATTATATAATTAGTGAAGCATCAGTCACCTCTTTCAGTCCGCAGAGGTGTCAGCGGATATGTGACCTTCTTTGTTTGAAGTAGTTGCTGGTGTTCATGGGCTGCAGTAGCCACTTACCATCTGGTGGACTATAAGTTCGTTTGTCACTCATCATCATCATCATTACAGCCTTTCACAAGTCATCTCCCCCAAGGAATGCCACAAAGCACGGTCCTGAGCCACCTGCATCCATCAACTTTCTGCACGTCTTACCAAGTCGTCACTCCGTCTAGTGGGGGGGCCCTACACTTCGCCTACCGGTACGAGGCTGTCACTCGAGAACCTTTTTTCCCATCGGTTGTTGGTTCTTCGGGCTATATGGCCGGCCCATTGCCACTTCAGCTTACTAATCCGTTGGCTTATGTCGGTCACTCTGATTCTACTTCGGATATCATTTCTAAGTATATCACGCAGAGAAACCCCCCGGGCATAGCCCTCTCCATAGCTCGCTGAGCGACCTTGAGCTTCCTCATCCGGCCAGCAGTGAAGGACCATACGTATTGGATGTACAGTCTCGTTTTCAAGTTTTGAGGTATACCCGATGAGAAGATGTGTCGTAATTTCCCGAACGCAGCCCAGCCGAGTTTAATCCGTCGATTGACCTTTCGGTTGAAGTTGGACTTACTTAGATTTGTTGGATTTGTCCCAGGTAAACATACTCGCAACTGCAAACCAATTTCCCTTCTGAGCCGCGTCTACGTGCTGTTCTCGAGAATCATTACGAATCATCACGCACGCAACCGGTATAGGTGTGACATGGACGTTACACATGACCTTCTTTGTCCGTGCTAATCTCCTATTCGTTGGATGACACTATTGAGGTCATTGAGCATAGAGCTTAGGTCCCCCAGTGATTCTGCTATATGGACTATATCGTCGGCAAATAGAATGTGAGTGATGTACTCGCCATTGATGTTAATACCGTATCCTTTCCAGTCCAGTAGCTTGAAAACGTCGTCCAATGCAGCGGTGAAGAGTTTCGGGGATATAACGTCACTCTGTCTTACTGGTTCTGTATTCGGATAGCCATCTTAGCCTTACTGTACAAACACTTCAGCACTTCGATATACCGACAATCAACTTGGCATCGCTGAAGTGACTGCAGCACCGCCCAATTTTCGACGGAATCAAAGGCTTTCTCATAGTCCACATACGCAAGACAAAGTGGCAGATTGTACTCTTCGGTCTTCTGTACAATTTACTGAAGGGTATGTATGTGGCCTATGGTGCAAAAGCCTTTTCGGAAACCGGCTTGTTCGGAAGGCTGGATGTCGTCGAGTCTGCGTGCTAGACGATTCGTAATGATTATCGAAAATAGCACGTAGACGCGGCTCAGAAGGGAAATCGGTCTGTAGTTCTTGAAGAAAGCGTTGTCGAATGGTATGTATGTGAACTATGTGGCCTATAGTGCTAAAGCCATTTCGGAAACCGACTTGTTCGGGAGATCAGCAGTCGAGTCTGCGTGCGAGACGATTCGAAAACAGCACGTAGACGCGGCTCATAAGGGAAATCGGCCTGTAGTTCTTCAAGAGATCGTTGTCGCCTTTCTTGAAGAATAAGACCACCGCACTTCTACATCACGCCTCCGGAGTAATGCAGTAGGAGGGAATTAAAGCGCCACCTCTTTAGAGATGGTCACTATTAGCAAGAAATTGATACAATGCCAACACTGGCCTGCATGACTCCTACAAGCTGCATTAAGACCACAACCACTGTGCCTTGGAAGCCATGCTGAACCTCAATTCTTTGAAATTATTCATTTAACAGCGACACCATCTGCTCTTAAAAGCTTAAATATTTGGAACAATAGCGGAACTCACACAGGACAGGATAGACATGTTAGATATGATTATTTATTAACTTTTATTTAAAATAAAACAGTCTAATAGCTGAAGCTCTTATTTGATGAAACTAAAAGTATATAATTAATTGCATAGAATTATAACGCATAGAATACTATTACGCGCACCGAAAGTGAAGCAAGTAAAACTAACTCGAAACCGCGTTAGTTGACTCAGCGACGCGTCAGTGCGCAACGTCACGTCTTACGGAGAAGAGCTCGCGAAAAATTGTAAAAATTACCGTTTGTGTTGTAAAATATTGTCACAACGGTGATGATAAACATAAAAGAAGTAATGGTATTACATTTCACATATAAGTTTATACATTTAATTCATTATAAGTACGTAAAACTAAAAAAATACTTACCTAAGCTCTCATAATACAAATGTTGCTAGTTGTGGGGAAAAAATCACAATTTTCTTTTAAAAATATTTATTTTCTATTTGTGTTTAAAACATTTAATCGCAACGCTCTGTGTAAAACTCAAATGTTTATATATAGATACCTACTTCTCTAAGTGTTAACATTATATTAACAATGGGTGTCTATTTAAAATTAATACGGAATGATCAGTTAATCGCGATTCGTCGACGCCATTTTAACGCGACTATTTTATTTTAATTTGATTTTTTAATGACTAAGGTTACGTTTTAGGGTATAGAATAAAAACTTTTTTATTTACAACATCATGAGATTATTAATAAGAACGCCTTTACTAACCAGATGTCACTTTACACCCAAACATTAACCAGATGTTACGTTAGACCCAAACATAGCCTATTTTAACCGACTCCCAAAAAAAAAGGTTATCAATATGTATGTACACTGATTTCTAAGCTTGATCAATTCGTATAATACAAGCAATACATGCTGAAATTTTAGTGGTTGTTGTCCCGCAGCCAAATTATACTGTCTCGATAGTAGAGTCAATTTATTAAATTAAAAAATATTACAATTAAAAAAGGGCAGATTTACTATAGTAATACCTCACAAGCTATTCGGGCGTCCAAACTAGTTTATGTCGTATCACTACGCTTGAGAATTCATGTTATGAACATTTATTAGTGGTCCTTCACTTTGTAGGAAGCGCGCGGTAGCACGGGCGATAGATGTAACACTACATTACGTCCAGCGAATTTTTTTCAGACTTTATTATAGTAATTCGGTATAAGCTAGCCTGTACGCCCGACCTACTTGCGAGATATTGCTTACTGGTTTGAGATCGCATTCGAGTATTGTCTTTCTCGATTGTAAATCTGCCACTTTTACATCTATTCTATTGTACTACTAAGGCAAAATCATTTTACTTTGGGAAAACAACCATTAAAATTTCAGCATGTGTATTGGATCAATCTGTGTGTATATCCTTTCAAAAAAATCTAAATTGGTTTAGAAATTGTAGAATTAAAAAACATTAAAAAATACACCGAATTGATAACCTCCTCCCTTTTTGAAGTCGGTTAAAATTAAACATTACACGATGTGCTTATTGTATTCGAGCAAATTAATTGTGTTTAATAATATTCTTAAATTTTATTACGTATGCATTTTTTACCATTAATATATGTATAATAAAGTTATATTAGTAACATCATTATTGTGTTTATTTTATTCCATTTTATATTCTCATAAAATACTTCTACTAAATAATCTTCGTACATAATACGTAATCTTTATTATATCGATTTTTTAAAATTAACCAAAAAATAGTGATTTGCACAATTTGATTGCAAACGCCAGAAACTGGTATCACTGAATGGCGTGTATGTGTGCGTGTGACGAGCGTAGGCACATTCGACTCGCGCCCACTAACATAATGACTTTGCATCATTTTAACGCTCGTGTTTTGTACTGGACTGCGTTTCTATGCGTAATAATTCTATGATTAATTGTTAAAATGAACTTGTTAAAGAACCGGTATAGATGTGACATGGACGTTACACATGACTGTTCTGCTGTCACAGGGAAGCTAAAATTGGTCTCTAAAAAGCTTGGTGTGCTCAGAGGGACAATATTCATGCCGGCACACCGCTTGCAACTTTACAAGGCGAAAGTTCGGCCTCACATGGAATACTATTCTGATCTCTGGGCCGTGGCACCCCAGTTCCCAAATCGTCTGTGACCTGGTTCGTTCTGATCGATTTGACTCTTTGGCACTACATTGCATTGCATTGTTCATATTCTGACTACAATTTTTTATATAAATCCCAATCTTCGTCGGTTTATGTGCTCATGACTATTAAGGGCCATTGCACGTCAATTACATATTACTTTTCCGTCAGTCAATACCTGGCTATGAAATATATTTAGAAACATATTTTTGTGTATGTAAGAGAATATACCTATTCCCTTTACATGAGTTTTATAACAAGGGATCTTTTAATAAAGGTTCCATTTTATTGATAGGTGATGAATAAATGGATGAATCAAAAAATCAACAGCTAATGGACCTTGGGGCGTGATGGATGGGATGAATGGGTGGTTTTTTACAAGCTTACCTATATTCGTATTCGTGTAAAATATGTTGAGTATAATAAAGTTGTAGTAATATTCTTAAATTGTTCCCAACAAATTTTTGCAGAATAATGTATAAATATTATGAATAGTGTGCCGTGGGGTAGCTCAAATGGTTAACGCTCGCTGTAAGCTTCACAGTACTCGAGCAACTCGGGTTCGATCCCCGCCGGCACCAATGAAATTGTTAATTGCAATTTTAAGTGCTGATTTATCACGTGCTCGGCGGTGAAGGAAAACATCGTGAGGAAACCTGCATGTCTGAGAAATAAAAAACAAAACATTTCGAAGACCTGTGAAGTTCACCAACACGCATCGTGGCAGCGCGGCGGACATTTCCTTCCCCTAAAACCCTCTCAGAAATGAGAGAAGGCCTGTGCCTTCAGTGGGACGTAAATAAGCTGCAACTTTACTTTACTTTTATTATGTATAGTTATGCTAACTGTAACTTTCCAATTTAAGTAATGTGGTTATGTGAAAGGTTAAAGAAATGAAAGACGGCAATAATAGCAATTTCAGCACTTGATGATAAAAATTGCTTTGTTAATCATTAACTAATGGATTATGATATTGGATGTCCCTTAAGTCGTGTATATAACCATACCGTTCTTTAAAATACCTATAGCGCCATCTAGGTAAAAGTTAAACAATTAGTTGATTATTATACTAATATAAAAACCATATTTAGAAAAACGGATAGGAAAAAGATTAGAACTACTCAAAATCAGATTATGTAATTTGTTAATTACGATAATAAAACTTTTAAAACTTTTTGTAGCTGGAAAAGGGAAGATTATGCATACTGCCCAGCTCTTATGGTAGATAGAGTGATCAATGATAATTATTTCAAAGGTTTGGTCTCTACACAACGTAACTAAAGATAGTGAGAGGCCCATCCATATCCATTCTCTAGTGATAAATGAAATATACGAATATATCGATGATATTATAAAGCCCGCCAAATTACACTAGAGTAACATACGAACTTGCTCCGTTACCCTCTAAAATAAATGTATGCATTTGTTCTATATTGAAACTAAAAACTTTTATTCTTAAGCTACTTTCTTAATTGAATTTATAATTAATTTCAATCAACCCGGTAAAAGCAAAATTTTTGCAAAACACGTTAATAAATGAAACAATGTAAAAAGACAAAAAGTACACGTTAACTGATATTGTAACATATTATTGTATTTAATACTAACCACATTGAAACATTTGTAACACTACATATTGAAAGCATGCTATTTTCAGTTTTTACTAACATCATAGTCATAAATGCACGAGCACGTGAATTTCATCAGCTTGAGTCAAACTTATGCTAAATGCATGGCTTCAATCACATTTTATGGAAACATTTATAACAATTTAATATTTTAGGTGTTTCTCGTACGAATCTTCTCAACGTAGTACAGCAATAGCTTCTTCGCCACCGCACTCTACGATAGAAACCAAAACATTCGACTGGGACGAAGGAACTTTAATTTCACCAAAATTCGTAAGTTAGTTAATAAGAGAACAATTTCGTATTCAGCTATTTTTAATCACATTACTTCAAGATGCAACTAGAGTTGCAGTTGCACGGGCAACTGAAATCGCTTGATCCTGGGCAAGATTCGTTTATGATGTCGCGACAATACGAGTATTATACAATTTACTGCGATGCCAACATGTAGCAATCGTTGCTAGAGATGCGGCCACACTATACCGAGCGACGTAGACGAAACATCAGTTCAAAAACTATCGAGGTTTTTCTTGCGGCGGTGGCTTGTATAGCTTTAAATTATATTATAGCTGGTGCTTCACATGTAGTTCCACATTTAAATTATAATATATGGGACTAAAAGTGAAGCACAAGCTTTCAAATAAAAAAAGAATCATCGAAATCGGTTCACCCAGTAAAAAGTTATGACGTAACACACATAAAAAAAACATACAGTCGAATTGAGTACCGTCTCCTTTTTGAAGTCGGTAGAAAAAAGCCAAGAGTAAATTAATATTTTAATGCGTCATAGTAAAAGTTTCACATTTTAATACATACTAAATCACACGTTACGTAACTCTTTTATAAATCATTACCAGCATCATTACAGCCCTTCACAAGTCCACTGCTGAACATAGGTTCAATCAGTTGTTGCGCTGGGAGCCGCGGGTTCGAATCCCGCACGGAACAAGTATTTGTATGGCCTACAAATAATTGTTCCGGATCTGGATTTTTGTCCTTGTGCAATTTATGTTTGTAAACTGCCTCCACGACACGGGAGAAAATCCTAGTGTGGGGGTAACGTTTTTTTTATAAACAAGAATAATAGGTCTCCCCCAAGGAATGCCACAAAGCACGGTCCTAGGCCACCTGTATCCATCGACTTAGTGCAAGTCTTACCAGGTCGTCACTCCATATAGCGGGGAGACGCTCTACATATCGCCTAAAGCGCGTGAAGCGCTGGAAGCCTACACACACATCATCATCATCATCATTACAGCCCTTCACAAGTCCACTGTTGAACATAGGCCTCCCCCAAGGAATGACACAAAGCACGGTCCTGAGCCAACTGCATTTTAATATAAATATTTTTTTCTCAGATAATATAGGATGATAAATTTTACAGGTTCATTACTGTCCAAATATATTAGATGATCCCGAGCTGATCGCTGGTAAGCATAGAACTCTGCTGACATTCACTTCGTACATGACATCCATTATTGACTACGTTCGACCGCAAGATCTAAAAAAGGAGTTAAACGATAAGTTTAGAGAGAAATTCCCACACATTAAATTAACGTTAAGCAAACTTAGAAGGTAAGTTCGATGTGATTTAACTTGTTTAGGCTTAAAATGTATTATTGCCATACATTACTGATTTTTACAGTATTAAAAAAGAAATGCGCAAGATCGCAAAACATGATTGTGGTGGAGTCGACCTATTGTCGGTAGCGCAGGCGTACGTTTACTTCGAGAAGCTCATCCTCGCTAATCTAATAAACAAAGATAACAGAAAGTTGTGTGCTGGAGCATGTTTATTATTGTCTGCCAAATTAAACGACGTCAAAGGAGAAATGTTGAAAGCTTTAATAGAGGTAAATATTGTGGAAATTATAGCAGCTTTTTGATAATTTATAATAGTTGTTAAGATGTTATATTAAGCGGTTAGCTTTCTGCCCGCGGCTTCGCTCGCGTGAGCTTGAATTTAAGAACAATATTACATACTGTTCCGTGCCAAATTTAGCAAAATTCAATCACTTCTATTAGAAGTAGATTATTGGTATTTGGTATAGATATAATATACAGGAACACGTGAATATGTATGTGTCTACAAACACCTACTATTTTTTTATATCGGACGTGTCTTCCGATGTATCCATAAGAAAGGTAAATTGTCTTGGATTTTAAATTTATTATTATTATTTACACAAAATAATGATGTATTTCATGGTCTTTTATCAATTTGCGGTATAATGTTTATTTGAGATATTTTATTCATATCATTGGTCCTATTTAATTTTGATTGGTACCATAAAATAGATAAATATAAAATATATAAAATATTTTTTGTACGTTCGAGTAGATTTCAAAAGTATATAAATACAGTTCTATAATGATGTATACTATACGTGGAATAAAACTAATGTTACGGATTTTATCACGTTTAATTTCAACATTTTTTACGTGGGGTTTTTTACGCATCTTTGGATGAAAGTTCCATAAAAACCTGCGTAAAAAACACATCATTGATGTGACGCACTAAAGCTCAGGGAAGTCTAAAGTATGTCAACATGTTTAGTATCGTTCCAACCATTATATTGGATCTGATCGACAGCAAATCCTTGCAATAGAACTCCGATTCCTACCAATGATGATTCACGAGGCTATTGAAATTAAAAAAAAAACGTCCTAATTTTAATAGGAGTGCTACCATCTTCTGAGGACCCCATAATTCATAAAATTAAATTCAAACCCAAGCACACTACTGCATTTATTCTATTCTATTCTGAGCATGACGTCAGGTCGTAACAAACACCTCAGTCCTCCTGTGACCATGGGAGCTGTAAAGTGCCCAAAACATCAGGAATTCAAAAGTTAAAATTAAACGCGATAAAATCCATAAAATTAGTTTTATTGCTTATAAATTTTATTCACAGTGAACGTGGGAAGCACTTCACTCATGAACATGAGTAGAAAAATGTTCGCTTTGTTGTGGCGGAGAAAGAGAATCCGCCATCTCATATCGTCCCGTTGTTAGAGGCGACACAGTGGGCGGAAACGATCAAAACTACGCGTGAGGCAGTAAATCTAATCCAAATGAAATCATTTTTTAAATACTCGTAATTATGTCTGCTTTCTTGTAGCACTGCGGAAATTCACTTTTTAGGGGTAGAAACCACCCCTATCAACCCCTAAGCAGGCTAAACCACCAGATTCTGGGTAAAACGAGTTCGATCAACTACATATTTATAAGGAAATATAGCATGCTTAAGGGTTGTTAGAGGTAGATTATTAGGGTTGTAAGTGTATATGGAAACGAAGTATGTGAGGGTTAAGGTGGGTTAGCCTATCTGTAGTTGAAATCTCAATTTATTTACAGAAAAGTAGTTGATTAAATTCGCTCTACCCAGAGCTAGGTGTGTTAGCCTGCTTGGGGGTTGTTAGGGGTAGTTTATGAGGTTGTAAGGGTATGTGGGAATGAACTATATAACTATGGGAATGAACTTTATACGGAAATATATATTTTCTTATAAAAATGTAGTTGATCGAGCTCGTTTTACCCAGAATCTGGTGGTTTAGCCTGCTTAGGGGTGATAGGGGTGGTTTCTACCCCTAAAAAGTGAAATTCCGCAGTGCTACAAGAAAGCAGACATTATTACGAGTATTTAAAAAAAATATTTCATTTGGATTAGATTTACTGCCTCACGCATAGTTCTGATCGTTTCCGCCCACTGTGCGACATAAGACGAAGATGATAGGCAGCATCATCTTCCTGACAACAGATCAAAATATTAATAGCTGCGGTTGCCGACCCGCCTATCAAGCGTGGTAACTATAGCAAATATTCAGTTCATTTCAGTGGACTTTTTGCAACCTTTAATATTTACGGTAGTGTGAAAACAAAAAGTAACATACCCGAAAATATAAATGAAATAAAAACTGCATATATTGCCCGATGAAAAGTAAAAAAGTAGCAACTTACATACATGTTACTACTTGCCACCGGCTGCAGACAGTTTTCGGCCAAAAAAGTGTTCGCTGAGCTTATTCCAACGCGGGATGTCCTCGACTGGGAAACTTCTCAGATGTGCACGTTTTCCTTCACCGCCGAGAACATGATAAATCGACACTTCAAATTGCAATTAAAATATATAATAATACTTACGTACCATGAAATTTAAGGTTTTAATCAGTTTGAATACAGCCTTTGACAAGTAAAATAAAATGAACCGTTTTTTAAAGTAAAATCTGCTTTCTTTAATTAAAGTATTTTCCGCAGTAGCCTGTTCATTTACATATACAGATATGAGCTATGAAAACAGGACTGTCACAAATATCTTAATACGTCTGAAAATATGAAAGCTATCTTAAATTACAAACTGGTTTATAAGTCTCATTAAAGGTAAAAGAGTAAAGTATCAGCGAATATACATCTGACTACTGTGCACAGATCTCCTCATTACCTATAGTGTTTTGTGGGCAGAAAAATAGAGTATGCTGCAATGTTTCAATGCATATAAACGGTTTTCACGTCTCCACGACTATTTTGATTACTCAAACATCTAGGTTCCCCACGAAGTTATTCTTCGCCACTTTAAAAGACACATGTTAAGTCAGCACGTAAAATTTTCTATAACAGATTCATCCTCGAGGGAGTCGTACACGTTTTGCTACCTTGCCATGATGAAATCTCACTAGAGCTACACGGCCCTCGTATTTTTTTAAATACAAGTCATAAAAACTGAAACTAAGCTTTTGCATGATTGATGACCACATCTACCTAGTAATACATCCAACGATGCCACGAAGGAGTTTTAAATTATTAACATTTTGCATCGTATATTCAGTAGCATTCTATTATTTAACTTTATCAGTGACTTACCATTTTAGTTTATTTATAAGTAGATGGCACTATTATTAGATGAAATACTGAATGCCAAAACTGTACTATCTAGTAATATCAGCGATAGAAACGAACATTTTTTTATTATATCAATAAGGCATAAGTAAGAGTCTGAGACTGCGCAACGTATAGTACTAGCCCTGCTAAAAAAAGCAATTTTAAATATCTCTAGAGTGTAAAAAGACTAGTAAGGTGATAATAATTATAAAAAATTAAAAAGTTAGTGTGGTGACATAATCATTTTCATATTTTAGTGAAAAAAAACATTGAAAAAAGACTAAATTAAAGGTCTTGTGACGGTACTCAAAATGTGCGGCTTCACTTATAAACAAAGAAAATAAATCTTCATTCTTCAAGTGTAAAATGAATGTGCAAGTTATAACATAAATAAGGCATAAAGTGATGTCAATTCTGTTAAAAAATATGCTATCAGCGCCGCTAGCGGTAAAAAATTATTTAATGATATCGTCGTATGACCATATCATGAAATAGCAATGTTGTGTTTAGTTACTAATATCTTCAAACGATTTTTATTTATTGATTTGGTCAAGTTACGACTATATATAAGGAATATTTACAATGGCCAAAAAAAAAACAGTGTTAAATATTATGAAATGACCACATCATTTCACGAAATGATAGACTACTTTATTATTTATGATCAATTCCACGATCTGGCTACATACTATAGAAAATTTTGCAATAATTGCAGACAGACCAGTTTTAATTAATTTACATATGGATTAGTAATTGAAATAAAAACCTTATCATTTTTCATATATTTGATAGACGTCACTGTTATCTATTGAAATTATTACTTTTAAAATAAAATAACAAAAATACTAAAAAACTAAACGTTAGTTTACATAGAATACTATTACGCGCACCGAAAGTGAAGCAAGTAAAACTAACTCGAAACCGCGTTAGTTGACTCAGCGACGCGTCAGTGCGCAACGTCACGTCTTACGGAGAAGAGCTCGCGAAAAATTGTAAAAATTACCGTTTGTGTTGTAAAATATTGTCACAACGGTGATGATAAACATAAAAGAAGTAATGGTATTACATTTCACATATAAGTTTATACATTTAATTCATTATAAGTACGTAAAACTAAAAAAATACTTACCTAAGCTCTCATAATACAAATGTTGCTAGTTGTGGGGAAAAAATCACAATTTTCTTTTAAAAATATTTATTTTCTATTTGTGTTTAAAACATTTAATCGCAACGCTCTGTGTAAAACTCAAATGTTTATATATAGATACCTACTTCTCTAAGTGTTAACATTATATTAACAATGGGTGTCTATTTAAAATTAATACGGAATGATCAGTTAATCGCGATTCGTCGACGCCATTTTAACGCGACTATTTTATTTTAATTTGATTTTTTAATGACTAAGGTTACGTTTTAGGGTATAGAATAAAAACTTTTTTATTTACAACATCATGAGATTATTAATAAGAACGCCTTTACTAACCAGATGTCACTTTACACCCAAACATTAACCAGATGTTACGTTAGACCCAAACATAGCCTATTTTAACCGACTCCCAAAAAAAAAGGTTATCAATATGTATGTACACTGATTTCTAAGCTTGATCAATTCGTATAATACAAGCAATACATGCTGAAATTTTAGTGGTTGTTGTCCCGCAGCCAAATTATACTGTCTCGATAGTAGAGTCAATTTATTAAATTAAAAAATATTACAATTAAAAAAGGGCAGATTTACTATAGTAATACCTCACAAGCTATTCGGGCGTCCAAACTAGTTTATGTCGTATCACTACGCTTGAGAATTCATGTTATGAACATTTATTAGTGGTCCTTCACTTTGTAGGAAGCGCGCGGTAGCACGGGCGATAGATGTAACACTACATTACGTCCAGCGAATTTTTTTCAGACTTTATTATAGTAATTCGGTATAAGCTAGCCTGTACGCCCGACCTACTTGCGAGATATTGCTTACTGGTTTGAGATCGCATTCGAGTATTGTCTTTCTCGATTGTAAATCTGCCACTTTTACATCTATTCTATTGTACTACTAAGGCAAAATCATTTTACTTTGGGAAAACAACCATTAAAATTTCAGCATGTGTATTGGATCAATCTGTGTGTATATCCTTTCAAAAAAATCTAAATTGGTTTAGAAATTGTAGAATTAAAAAACATTAAAAAATACACCGAATTGATAACCTCCTCCCTTTTTGAAGTCGGTTAAAATTAAACATTACACGATGTGCTTATTGTATTCGAGCAAATTAATTGTGTTTAATAATATTCTTAAATTTTATTACGTATGCATTTTTTACCATTAATATATGTATAATAAAGTTATATTAGTAACATCATTATTGTGTTTATTTTATTCCATTTTATATTCTCATAAAATACTTCTACTAAATAATCTTCGTACATAATACGTAATCTTTATTATATCGATTTTTTAAAATTAACCAAAAAATAGTGATTTGCACAATTTGATTGCAAACGCCAGAAACTGGTATCACTGAATGGCGTGTATGTGTGCGTGTGACGAGCGTAGGCACATTCGACTCGCGCCCACTAACATAATGACTTTGCATCATTTTAACGCTCGTGTTTTGTACTGGACTGCGTTTCTATGCGTAATAATTCTATGGTTAGAATTTTTAAATAATTTAAAGAATAGTTTAAGTTACATACTTATATTATTTAATTTATTAGTAACAGAAGGTAAAATAAACTTTTTCCATTTGATGACAGATGGCGCTGTTTTTATATACTAAATCGCTGTAGTTTTAAATTATTTTACCAATGTTATAAATATATTTTAAACTTTATTTATAAATATGGTACTTATTTATTTGAAAAACACCCGTCATCCCGCCTCTAAGATATAATAGAAAATTAACATCTAAAGGAAGGAAAATACTTAACCTTCTTTTTTGAAGTTCCGTAATCGGATAAAAAGTAGCGTATAAGTTACCCCGGGTTACTAACTATCTACATACAAAATTTCATATAAATCGGTCCAGTAGTTTTTGTGTGAATCCACAATACACAGATAAACAGACAGACAAAAATTCTAAAAACCACTAACTTGGCTTCAGAACCCTGTTTTAGTCTCCTGGACTTGTTTTTCCAAGAATATATAAGAATTACAGACACGACTTTTCTACAGATTTATTATATGTATAGATATATAGATTCGCGTCGGATTCGGTTTTAATTCGGTTTCATGTTTGCACGTTCACTAACTATTTGACTATACCCTCTGAGGTTGCAATTTTAAGAGTTGACTTTCCACATACTCAGACTCAGAGTTGAAGGAAACCTGCATCTCAGATAATTGAAAAATTCGAAGACATTTGAAATCCACCAACACCCGTAGGGCGGCGCGGCTGACACTTTATTACTCTAAAACCGGCTCAGGAACGATGAGAGGGGCTTGTACCCAGCATTGGAACGTAAATAGTGGCTGTACTGTAATTACATATTTCCTATAGTCGCCTCTTAAAACATCCACGGACTTCTTCGCAACATAAAAAGGCTTATATTACAATGAAACACATTCACACATATGTTTTTTATTATTTTAGTGCCTACAAAACTGATAACCTAAAATTTTTCGCCTTTAACAGCGTATAGAAACCACATTCCGGGTGAATCGGAAGGATCTAATGAAGTTCGAATTTGCCGTTCTCGTTGCACTGGAGTTCGGTTTGCACGTGCCCCCGTACGAAGTGTTCCCGCACTATCAGCGTCTTTTACACGACTCGTGACCTTGGCGGAGAATGGCTCTGGAGCCGTGCATACGCGTGTGTCATCGCAGACGAGCCACTCTTGTTGATAATTTGCGAGCCAGTGCTTGGATGTAAACGGTCGGAACCTTAAAGTGTTTGATATGTGAGTCTTACTACGTCGGAAAACGTGTTTCTGCAGTTTATGTGTAACGCTATTTAATTTTGGAGATTATGAAATAGAAATTGATGTTGCATTGTTAAAAAGATTATATTTATGAACATGATACAAAAGCATTTTAGTTTTTAAGTGTGCATGCCCTGTTTTAAAGCCTTTATGTTTAAGTATGTAAGTTATATTATGGATATACGTTGTATCAGGAAAGGTTTTTTATATACAAATTATTTTTTATTAAACTTAACCGTAAAATTATAATTGATAATAATAGTGGTAGGTTCATTAACAGTTATTAAAAAGAAAACATTGCTAAAACTAACGATATTGTCGTTTAAAGTGCTGACAGATTAGTTATAGTAAATCAGTGTGCGTACTTTCTATAAGAGTTGACCTTCCTTGTAAGTCACGGATTCGTGTACCACTAAAATTCCAAAGAAAGGCAAAGTTATTTGATTCGTCTGCGGTAAGTATAGTGTATTAAAGGCAGAGGTTGTGACAATTGAATTGTATGTAAAGACAGGCTACATGGGGATCATAACTTTAGCCCCATTATACAATAATAGTTAGAGACATGTTCCCTGTGATAGATTTTTTAAGGATAAACGATCAGTGATAGCTGGGAGATATTAGGAATCAGGATCAGCAATGCGATTGTGTAAATCTGGTGGGTATCGTTGCCGGTAGAAATTACTTGGCAACTGTGTTGTTTTATTCATTATTATAACATTTTGTTACATAAAAAATTAATAAATATAGAAAATACATTAGCTTCGAATCGATACTGATAGATTCACACAATTCAATGAAACTTTTTTACGTGGTAGAACCATGCTGCAGCTATATTAATTGTATAGTTGTAGCGCGAATGGGTCGTCTAGACCGGGGAAGGACCACGCTCTCACAGAGTACCAGCGTAAAATAGCAGTTTAATGCTGCTGTGTTTCGTATGGTGAGTGTAGAGAACCGGAGACCCATTTTACTGGAAAAGAGGCATTCTATCTTAGTCCTCACGGCTGACAACGCATGTGCATTTTAATTATCAAACTAAGATAGATGTAGATGTTTATGGGCCACAGCAACCACTTACCATCGGGTGGACTGTGTGCTCATTTGTCACCCTTATTCTATAAAAAAAAAACTAAACGTCAAAATGAAGTCTAACGTGATCCCCACCAGAGTAGTACAATAATTATTATTGTAATGTAGGCGAGGGCGTAGTAAGTGGGAAATATACTGTTTGTACACTTTTTATCTTGAGAAAATATTCATTGCAAATCCTCGTAAAATTATTTCGTCATCTCCGGAAATCCAGAAAACCCTTCAGTGATATGTCATTGACCACCCGACTCGCATTGTTTGTTGTATTTATCTCTCTTTTAATTGAATGTGTAATGTTCTCAATGCAGTACAGGTATCTTAGTGTTATTTCACTTTTTTTTGTGATAATGATTCTTGCCGTTAAATAAATGTGTTTTTTAGGAGGCTCGTGTAATCTTTAAGCCCTGATAGTTAATTACGTGCTACATAAATATTTACATATTTTGTATCTTTTCGCAAACCATATTTTGTATCTGTTTGCAAGATGACGTTGTAACGAGGATTAAGAAAGGAATGCTTCGGTGGTTTGGTCATGTAGAAAGAATGAACGAGGAAAGAGTGACTAAGCAAATTTATGTTGCAGAAGTGAACGGCAGGGTCGGGAAGGGACGCCCTAGACGAAGGTTTATCGACCAAATCGGCGATACATTAAAAATGGGCCAGATTAGGAGTACCCTTAACCGACGAGCGTGTATGCGTAGATATATGGATGTAAAAGAGGCGAGAGAGGTGTGTCAGGATCGCGCCAAATGGAAGTCCGTGTTTATGTATCTTTTTATAGATCGAAAGCATACAAGTTACTTATATTTTTTTGAACTTAAGTTAGTTTTTTTTATGTTGAGAAATACCCAAAGTAGATTCTTCTATATTGCTTATTTTACAAGAGATAGTTATTATATTCCAATAAATTTTACAAACTGCATATTTTATACAAAAAGAAATATTTATTTACAACAAAATGTAAACCATGCAACTATACTACTATTTTTTGACTTTAGTTTTCGAATATGTAGAATAATCAATGTGCCGTACGATCAAATTAAGTAAGTATTATTAGTAGTACACAGAATAAAGTTGAGGTTAGATACCTATATCTAATGGTAACTTTTGTAGGAAGAAAACTAAATTATTTTTATTTTTAAAAATCGTTACCCCTCACAATAGGATTTTTTCCTGGATATTTTAAATCCATAAATTGCACATGGACAAACATTCAGACCTTCCGGGCCTATTATTCGTAGGCTATACGAACACATGTTCCATGCGGAATCCGAATCTGCGGGCTCACAGCGCCGTAACCAAACTAATCGCTGTAGCGTGTTGATGAATGAATGTTAGTCACTAAAGGTCAAAATATATTTAATTTATATTGAAATGAATAATTTTGGAACTTTATATATTATCATGCAGACCTCGATCGCGAAGTGAAGCGAAGCATTGGGCTTTACTGTTGACTTGACAATGTCACGGTACCCACTCTCATTAAATTCGATATATTACTTTAAACCGCACTAATACGTGAATTAAAGCACATATTATTAAGAAACACTAATGATTAAAACTAATTCTTCGTGCTATTTTTTTGACATTAAAATTGCAAAATTATTTTTTGATAGTTTATAAATTCGCATTAACAAAGTTTGTTGGTTTTCATACTAAATAGATTTATTTTTCCCATTGCTCTGTGTGGTGTATGAATCCAATTTAATATTTGTAATGCACTTTTTATTACAATTATGAAGACTATTGTGATAATTTTGCTTGTTATTTGAGTAGGCTTACTAATAGAAGTAGAAGCCCAAACAGAACTTTGGCTATTATATTATGTGATTCAAATACAATGCGTGTGTGTGTATTTAAATAATATATTAAAACACTGATGCTCAAACGAATGAAGAGTAGTATTTTTGTGTTAGATGTAGAGTCAAAGAATTTAATTAAATATTGTAACAATTTTAATTTGATAAATTATGTAACAAATGACTATTAAATTTAAAACATTATCTCTGTTATACTTAACAATAATTAGAGATGTCTTCACTTATTGCTTAGATCGTAGAAGTCTCATTTTTTAAATAAAATATCTGATTTTAATATACCAACATAATTATTTGCATTTATTTATGTAAATTCTATCCGTTACAGGCAACACCGATATAACATCAAAATCACCTCTAATGCTATATTGGCATTGCCTGTAATGGCTAATCTTTAAGATAATATTTATCAACAAAATCAACATAATGCATATTATTTATTCCTGGTACCTTATATATTTACTGTATATATATCGTTGATTCTTATTAAATTATTTAAAAAGAATTGTTACAAATAAATTATTTTTGATGTAAAAAGTTGTTTACACTAAAAATTGGTAAAACATACGTTGTCATTTCAACAGAAAATATTACGTATTTTTTATTAAAACTTGTACTTAATAAATTGCAGGAAAAATCATTATTCTTTTCCGACGATGGTAACTAGATTCTTATAACACTAGAACCTTGACGAAATCAGCATAATGTCATAAGAGAACCCTATAGATAGAGGGCGCGTGAAAACTAGCCAGCGGCAACCTATTTTGTATTCTTCTTTTTCCCATTTTGTCTTTCTATGGCTAAAGAATTCTGCCACTGTCGAGGTCAATCATTGGAGCCCAGAACTGAAATAGCCTCTGCCTAGTGCATGGGAGTGATAACAGAGAAGGTAAATAATATTTTTTTAATATTTTGTAAGTGGCTTCCAAACCTACAATAACAGAATACAAAACATTCAATATCCTTGTAGTAGTAATAATAATTTAAAATTAAAAATTTTGTACAGCCGACTTCAATATAAGTTATTTAAGAATAACTTAAAAACTATTGGTCTGACCTTGATCAAATTCATACGGGACCACACGAGAAGTACCAGCTTTCAAATAAAAAAAGAATCATCGAAATCGGTTCACCCAGAAAAAAGTTCTGAGGTAACACACATAAAAAAAAAAAAACGAAAAAAAAAAAACATACAGTCGAATTGAGTACCGGCTCCTTTTTGGAAGTCGGCAGAAAAAAGATTAGTATTAACGGAAATAACCATAGATTTAGTATAAACTGAGTCATAACTTAATGATACCATGTACTGGCGGTGTTAGAATATCCACTACCCCATATCGTCCCGTGGGTGTCGTGGGAGGCGATACAGGGAAACGGAAACAGGAGATAGGTATCAGCATCTTTTTGGTAACAACACAGTAATAAAAAACTGCGGTTGCCAACCCGCATGCCAAGCGTAGCAACTATGGCAATCCCGCTTCTGAGGATTTTGCCATAGTTGCTAGTAGGTGGGTTAGTGGTTCCTTCATAGGATTTTACTATAGCAGCTAGACTTAGGCATAGTAGATTTTATTAATACCCGTGTCTACCATCACCTAGATTGTCAAAATAGTGGGGTCTTAAAGGTGACTGAGACGTTGGAAGCAGATGTTACGGTGGACGTACACACATACTCCGGCACGTAGATGGAATTTGTGCTTCAGAGAGAATCTAGGATATCCAAGGTACGGCGCATTCAATGGATGTCCAATTTTGGTCTCCGTCTAGAAAAGTAGATGCGACTTCTCAGTCTGCAGATGGTGATGGACTGCCTTGAGATTTGAGTGCAATCCTCGGATATTAGATTCAAGTTTGCGATTATTCTCGTTTATCTTGTTCATAGACTGCTATTCTTTTCTTCTGTTTCTTTGCGACGTTGTTCACGCTTGTTCAGATTTTTGCTTTAATTT